TTTAGTGGTCAGTTCAACAGTATAGATACTAAAATTGGAATGATACAGAGAAGATTAACATGGCCTCTGCACAAGCAGGATATGCAAACATATTTTTGTATTAAATCACTATATTGTACATCTAAAACTAATATAACACATATGTTAACTATACTGGAATTAAAATTAAAAACTTATTAAGAAGTTTTTTGAAATGACTATTTAAAGCAATAATTGTAATGCTGTTGGTTTATAATATAGATGTTATATACACAAATTTATATTTCTTCATCATTAATACATATCTCAACAATGGCATGATGAAGGGCGTAGGATATGGAGCTATAAATTAGCAAAATGGCTATATTTTACCAGAATTAAGTTAATATTAACCTAACATAGACAGTGATGCATATGGTAATTTCTAGAGCCAGCATTAGAAAAGAATATTTTCAAAACTATAGCTAAAAAAAATGAAAAGAGGAATTAGAATAGTACATCCAAATTATGTGATAGACAAAAGACAGCAGTAAATAAGGAACAGAGGAACAAAAAAGGTATGAGAGAACAAGAGGAATTTGAAATTAAAAACACATTTACATTAGCAACCCCCCGAAAAGAAATACTTAGGTGTAAAACTAACACAATAAGTACAAGATCTGAAGAAAACCACAGAACTCGGATGAATGAAACGAGAGAACTAAATAAATGGGGAAATATTCCATGTGCATGGATAGGAAGACAAGGTCTTGATATGGTCAAGATATTAGTTCTTCCTGACTCAACTGATAATTAAATGTAATCTCAATCAAGAGCCCAGCAAGTTGGGGCGCCTGGGTGGTTCAGTGGGTTGAGCCTCTGCCTTCAGCTCAGGTCATGATCTCAGGGTCCTGGGATTGAGTCCCACATAGGGCTCTCTGCTCAGCAGGGAGCCTGCTTCCCCCCACCCCCGCCTGCCTCTCTGCCTACTTGTGCTCTCTCTCTCTGTTAAATAAATAAATAAAATCTTTAAAAAAGAAAAAAAAAGAAAGAAAGAAGAAAAGAGCCCAGCAAGTTATTTCATGGATATAGACAAATTGATCCTAAAGTTTATATGGAGAGGCAAAAGACCCAGAATAGCCAACACAATATTGAAGAAGAACAAAGAACAAAGGACTCATGTGACCCAACTTCAAGACTTATTATAAATCTACAGTTATCAAGAGACTGTGGTATTGGCAAAGAAATCGGGAAATAGAGATCAATGAAACAGAGATATAGAGCCCAGAAACAGACCCTGATCAATTGATCTTTGACAAAAGAGCCAAGGTAACTAACACAATGGAGCAATATGGTCCCTTCAACAAGTAGCTCTGAACAACTGGATATCCACTTGCAAAAAAATTAACCTAGACACAGACCTTACACCCATCACAAAAGATGACTCAAAATGAACCATAGATCTAAATGTAAAATGTAAAGCTATAAAATTCCTAGAAGACATATAAGAGTAAACCTAGATGACCCGGGGTATGGTGATGCTTTTTTAGATACAACACCAAAGACATAATCCATGAAAGAAATAACTGGTAAGTTGGACTTCATTAAAATTAATAATTTTTTTAAAAGATTTTATTTATTTATTTGACAGAGAGAGAGACACAGTGAGAGAGAGAGAGAGCACAAGCAGGGGGAGTGGGAGAGGGAGAAGCAGACTTTCCACCGTGGCAGGGAGCCCAACGGGGGGCTCAATCCCAGGATCATGACCCAAGCTGAAGGCAGACACCCAATGACTGAGCCATCCAGGCACCCCTAAAATTAATGTTTATAAAAATGTTTATAGGGCGCCTGGGTGGCTCAGTGGGTTAAGCCGCTGCCTTCGGCTGGGGTCATGATCTCAGGGCCCTGGGATCGAGTCCTGCGTCAGGCTCTCTGCTCAGCAGGGAGCCTGCTCCCTCCTCTCTCTCCGCCTGCCTCTCTGTCTACTTGTGATCTCTCTGTCAAATAAATAAATAAAATCTTAAAAAAAAATGTTTATAAAAACATTTTATAATATGCTTTTTAAAGTACTTTATAATACTTTGTCTCATTTGATTCCTATAATAATGATAACTCTGGCAACTAACTGTGTTTCCTATATATAATTATATAATGTTAAAATTAAAAACTTCTGCTCTGCAAAAGACAAAATCAAGAAAATGAGAAGACAAGCCACAGACTGGAAGACAATATTTGCAAAAGACATCTGATAAAGGACTGCTATCCAAAATAAACAACTCTTAAAACTGAAGAAAAAAAAAATTAAAAATGAGTCAAACACCTTGACAGACACTTCACCAAAGATATACAAATAAGCATCTGAAAAGATGCTCCCCATCGTAGTATGTCTTCAGATAACTGCAAATTCAAATGATGACATACTACTACATACCTCTTAGAACGGCCAAATTCAGTGTCTGCAACACTGACAACACCAAATGCTGGTGCTGCATAGGTTTCTAGTGAGAATGCAAAGTGGTACAGCCACTCTGGAAGACAGTTTGGCAGTTCCTACAAAACACACACTTACCATACAATCCAGCAGTCTCGCTCCTTGGTGTTTAACCGAAGGAGATAAAAACTTAACGTTCACACAAACACTCGCACACAGATGTAACAGCTTTATTCATGATTCCCAAATCTTAAAAGCGATCAAGATGTCCTACAGTAGGTGAATGGATAAACTGTGGCACATCCAGACATGAAAAGACAGAAAAGAAAAGTGCATATTACTAAATGAGAGAAGCCAATCTGAAGAGGCTACATATTTTACGATTCCAACCTTCGACATTCTAGAAAAAGCAAAACTGTGGAGACAGTAAAAAGGGGTGGTGTCGGGGGTGGGGGAGGGGGAGAGACGAATAGGCAGAGCACAGAGAATTTTTAGGGCAGTGAAAATACTGTGTGATATTTATAGTGATGGACACATGTCATTACACTTTTGTAACATCAAGAGTGAACCCTAGGGGCACCTGGCTGGTTCAGTCAGTTAAGCGTCTGTCTTCAGCTCAGGTCATGATCCTGGGGTCCTGGGATGGAGCCCCAGATTAGGCCCCCTGCTCAGTGGGGAGCCTGCTTCTCCCTCTCCCTGTACCCTTCCCACCACCCCCACCCAATACCTGCACACTCTCTCTCAAATAAACAAAATCTTAAAAAAAAAAAAAAAAGGTGAACCCTAAGGTGAACTGTGGACTTGGGGTGATGATGATGTGTCAGTGTGGATTCATCCTTGGTTTAAAAAAAAAAATCACCGAATATTACTCAGGCATCAGAAAGGATCAATACCCACCATTTTGGAGGGGTATCCTCCATCCCTCCGGGGTGGAACCAGAGGGGATTCTGCTGAGTGAAATAAGTCAATCAGAGAAAGACAATTATATGGTTTCCCTTATATGTGGAACACAAGGGATAGCATGGAGGACATTAGGAGAAGAAAGGGGAAAATGAAGGGGTTGGAAATCAGAGGGGGAGATGAATCATGAGAGACTGTGGACTGCAGGAAACAAACTGAGGGTTTTAAAGGGAAGGGGAGATGGGTTGGCCGGGTGGTGGGTATTAGGGAGGGCACAGATTGCATGGAGCACTGGGTGTTATACGCAAATGATGAATCATGGAGCACTGCATCAAAGACTGATGATGTACTGTATGGTGACTAACATAGTAATGAAAAAAAGCGCCACTCAGGTGAGCGATATCCATAATGGGGGGAGACGATGCATGTGTGCAGGCAAAAGCTGTGTGAAAAATCTATCTTACTCTCAATTTTGTTGTAAACCTACAACAGCTCTAAAAAAAAAAAATGCTGAAAATGTACCCTGTAATATACTACTTGGATGAGCATGTACTTGTCCACAAATACTTGAGTGCTTACTCGGGCCCCCCTGTAGGCACTGAGCTAACTGCAATAACAAAACAGAGCAAATCCCTACTTTCAGGGACTTTATATTCCAGTGGATAGAGCTGGGTGCTTAAAAAAAAAAATCAATATGTAATATCAGATAGTGATCCATGCTTTCTAAAGAAAACTTAGACGTATACCTGGATAGCATTTGGTAGGTAGTTATTAGCTGTAAGTAATAAACATACAATGAATAAATTTTTTAAAAAAGCATACCTGGATTGAAAAATGGGACGTGCCTGCTACTTTACACAAAGTAGTCTGGGAATAGAGTAACATTTGAATGGAGACTTGAGAAACATGAAGGGAGACCTATTGGCTTTTTGTGGAAAGCCCGCTGGCAATGACAGATGGCCCAAGCCCTGAAGCAGGAGCTGTCTGTGTTTGGGAATGGAGGCCTGGGAAGGGACCCCATGGCGCGGGGCTGGAGGGGGAGGTCGGAGAGGTCAAAGGGATAGCTGGGATCATGTAGGGCTTATCAGCCGTGGTAAGGACTTTGGATCGACAGAGCCATAATAATGAAAGTGATGATTGAAGCAAATGAACATCATGTGACTGCGGTGCCCGTGAGGGCTGAGGAGGGAGAGCTGCAGGAAGCTGGCAGACAAGGCCCCACCGAGATGAACGAGCAAACGGCAGCCTGCACAAATGCACGAGAATCCTGCAGGCAAATACCAGAAGAAATTAGAGTGATTTCACTAGTGGGTGAGGAGGGAAGCATCACAGGGCTGCTGCTTTCCATTAGAAGCCTTTTAAATATGGTTTGACTTGTTTTTAACGATAAGGGTTTTTTAAAACTTGGGAAAGTTCTTAAGGAAGGGTGGGATGCTCAATCCTAAGGGCATCAGATGTGAAACAGACCATGTAGCCAGTGCTCGGGGGTGGAAGTCCTGACAGCCAGGGTTGGAATAGTCATTCTCATAAAATAAGCCTTCATGTTATGCCCTTGAAGTCTTATCTGCTGAGCGCCTGCCCATGAGAATGAGGGGGGCCTTCTTCCCTGGGCTTATGATTTGGAATTCTGTCACATATTGTGTTTCCTGCCAAAATAGCCTTTTCTGTTTTCTTCGTCCAGCCACATGACAGCTGTCCCTTATTTTCTTAGGTGCCAGAGAACACAATGGCGAACTTTAAGGGCCATGCTCTCCCAGGGAGTTTCTTCTTGATAGTTGGGCTGTGGTGGTCAGTAAAGTACCCGCTGATATACTTTCACCAGAAGGGGAAAAGCAGCCAACTGACTCGTTACCAACAGCGTCTCGAGATCATTGAAGCCGCAATCAGAACCTTGTTTTCAGTCATTGGTAAGAAGGGGGTCATCTGGTCCAGGGGATCTCCCCACCACACCCAGCAACTTTAACCCATTTTCTGGACTCTGTGAAATGGAATGTTTCCACTGGCAGTTAACAAAACAAGGATTTTCAGTGCGCCACTAAATATTTTATAGTATCTATTGTGATCCGAGCTTTGTCAGTGTTAATAGTTAATAGCACTTTACAACATAGTGCGCTGTGAAAAACTACCAAAAAAACATTCTTTGCCCTGGAAGGACATAGGTGTTAAGTTGTAGGAATAGAAGACCTACTTGATGAAAGAGATAAAACATAAATAATAGAAAAAATAATAGAGTAAGCTCATGTACATGAATTAGGGAAGTACTAAATGGAGTTTAGAAAAATCATCTTTCCTTCCAGTTGTCTCTCCACTAGAATCTCAGGAGTCGTTACCACCTAATTCCTTGGCATATCCTCCATCCCCATACCTCAAGCAATCACCAAGACAGGGACTTTATGCTAGAGGACTAGTAAGAGAGGCCGGGGAAGAGACTGAAGAAAGCCAGCCGAGGGCTGTTGGAAAGGGATTTTCCTTTACTGTGCCCGTTCCAGCAAAACCCATGCACTTCCAAGGTGACTCGTCATCCCTTCCATTCCACTCGTGGCCACATGAGAAGGGGCCTGCAGGGCCAACAGTAGAAAGTGTTCTTCCTCGGGATCTGCCCATCATAGGGGTAACGGGACTTCATTCTGCAGTTGCATGTTGCTGCTTCTCATCTTAGGCCTATAGCGTCTCAGAAGGAGCTGAAGCAACACAAGCAGCCCCTCTAGGAGTGAGCGGAGGCACCTAGCTTGCTTCGCCCAGCCCCGCTGGGTTTTCCCATCCCCCAGGCAGTCATTCGGGCATCTTGTCTTTCTGGAGTCAAGAAGTGACGGGAACTACACAGCTTAAATGCTAAGGACAGCATCAGTGTTGCCTAGAAAAAGAGCTAGAAAAGTCTTTGGCCTCTTCGCTGGGTAAGACCACTGCTCATCCAACGAGATCTCCTGAGCTCCTACCCAGCAGGAACTCACCATTCCAGGTCTCGGGGATACAGTGGGGAACCAAGCAGAGTCCCTGCCCTCACAGAGCTCCCATTCCAGTGTCAGTGGGACTTCTTCCCCTGGTCCTTGCCACCAATTCCTTGACCCTTCACATATAAATTTGGGAAGGGGCTGGGTTTAAGGGAAAAACGTTTGGGGAACAGGGTCCAGAATGTTGTCATGGAGCATTATTCTAGGCCCCAACAACATTCAGGGCACTGGGCATAAAGGCCAATCTGTTGCCTTCCAAAACAGATGATGAAGTAGGAAGGCTAAGAACTATGAGCCACTGTCTCAAAGGGTTGCCTCTTGTAAGACACAGAAACCCCAGTGACATGCCTCCACCTGCTTTTCCCAGTATTTAGGTTACGGAGACCGAAAGCTACGGGAAGGGCTCACAGCTCAGAGAGCTCACTCTGTGCTCAGGAAAACCACTCACTCTAAGGCTGCCCTGATGAACACGCACCGGGAGCTGCTTCTCCCCCCTCAGGCGCACTCCACTGTCTCCACCACCAGTGTCTTTGCTCGGGTCCCCTTATTTTCAACCTAATGGTTTCGTTCCAGGATTTCCTTCACTGCTCACTTAGCCCAAAGATTAATGCATCAGCCACATTCTCACCGAAGTGATTGTGCCTTGCTTTCAGCTCAGTCACCAAACAAATATCCCGGGGACCTGTGTGACTGTTTCTACTGCTGCTTCTCTCCGCATCCCATCCCCAAAGGAACAAAGGCAAGATGTCCACACAGGTTCCCCGGCAAAAGCCTTATTTTGCACTGAAATAGCTGCATCTGAGGGAGCAAAGTAGACTTTCACCCGTCTCAACTTCACTCATGACCTGCAGGTGTTTTCGTCTGTGTTGAGCTCCTCCTCCCTCTCATGCTCCGCTCTCATCCCCCACAGGGATCCTGGCGGAGCAGTTTGTTCCCGACGGGCCCCACCTCCACCTGTACCACGAAAGCGAGTGGGTGAAGTTAATGAACTGGCAGCACAGCACCATGTACTTATTCTTCGCGGTCTCAGGGATCGTGGATCTGCTCACCTGCCTCGTCAGCCATGTCCCCCTGGGGCTGGACAGACTGGTTATGGCCGTGGCGACATTCACCGAAGGTAACTTAGTGGTGCGGATGGGAAAAAGAGCAAAGCAAGAGACAAATACTGCAAATACAGGAACTTTCCCCCAGAAAGCCCCAATCGCTGAATTTCAGAAACCTGAACAGGACTTGGTCCCGTGCTCTGGATGATACAGGGGACATAGTCCGTAAAACAGCACACGAAAACATAAGGCTTTGAGCCCAAGTCTCTGGATCTTGGTGCACAAACTCCCTAGCCCCTCCCCCATCATGCTTGCACGTGTGCACATCCACACTCACATACACAGTAGCTGGCCCAAACCTGGCCAGATGCCACCACGCATCAGAACTCCCTCTACTCGGGGAAGGAGACTGCACTCCACCTCCCACCCTGGAGTGTGTTCCTGTCTGGACTCCATCACAACCCTCAGGAGACCCACCCAGCAGCTAGGCCCCATCTCCCAACAGAGCTCACACTAACCGGGATAAGGAAAAAGCATTTTGTAATCCAGCAACCTCCTCTACTACCTCTGTACCTCAGGAAGAGCTGGGGGGCGGGGTGGAAAGGTTGAATGAGGGCAAAACTGAACTTCTAGTACACACGCACACAGTCCGTCACAAATCAGCAACATGTTTCACCTACGCATCTGCATGAAGGCATTTACTTAAAGGATCCATCCCTTGCAGCACAGATCCACTTCGTACATAACACGAAAGCAACCTGCTGTATCAACCTGTATACAACCTGTAATGTTGTATCAGCTGACTTCGTAAGTGCTGAAACATCGAGCTTTGAGATGGGTGTAGGAGGGCGTTCTAGGAACGGGAACAGTGCAGATGAAGCCTTCCGAGCAGAATGCCGCGAACCCGTGGTGGCTGAAATTGCTTTGTGCAGGTTTTCTCTTCTACTACCACGTCCATAACCGCCCACCCCTGGACCAGCACATCCACTCGCTCCTGCTGTGCGCCGTGTTCGGAGGGGCCTTCAGCATCTTCGTAGAGGTGATCCTCAGGGACAATATCGTGCTGCAGCTCTTCCGAACCAGTCTCGTTATTCTTCAGGGCACCTGGTTCTGGCAGGTAATTATCCAAAACGGTGCTCTTCACACGCATGGATTCCAGGAGCCATGCTGAGCTCGGGTAAGGCAGGTCCCGCCGGGCCAGCACAGGAAGGGCTCCGCAGGGCAACTTGTCTTCCCACGCCTACCCACCCCCTTAAGTGATTTCATCCGGTAGCATCTTACTGATGGGTTAACAGGCTTCGGAACCGCGCAGCACACAGCGAGCATATTAAAGAACGCCCCATCTGCCCTGTGGTGCAGACACTGTTACAGGCTCCACTTGTCTGCTCACCTGAAATGCATGTCCTGAAATGTTGTCTTTAAATAAGCTCATGCTAAACCCAGGAGAGTAATCCTCCCGCACAAAAAGGCCTTTCTCTGCCTCTGGTATAGGTATGGGGAAGACGAGCCAGTGGGGGAGATCCTAGTGGGGGAGATACGGACAATGGGGGTAGTATGGGGAGGCAGCAAGCTCACTTCTCAGGAGCAACTAAAGCCAGCTTCTCTGTATAACCCACCAGATCGGGTTTGTGCTGTTCCCACCTTTTGGAGGACCTGAATGGGACCAGAAAGATCACGCAAACCTCATGTTCATCACCATGTGCTTCTGCTGGCACTACTTGGCTGCCCTCTGCATTGTGGCCATCGGCTACTCGCTCGTTTTCTGGTAAGTCCAAGGGAAGACAACTTCTGTCTAGTTTTTTTCCTCCTAACAACCTCTTGTCCCTAAAATCTATTACACTACATCATTTTTATTTCCAGTGACTAAGCTTCCATAAATAAGCAGTGCTATCTTGTACCACTTCTTGAGAGCCAACTATCTGCCCAGTGCTGCGGAGGAAGGTGATGAGATTCTGAGAAGTTAAAGGACTGTATGGTCATAGTAACCCAACAGACCCAGGTTTTAAAGGCAGTTCTGATGGACTTGAAGGCTGTGATGTGAAAGGAAAACTCTGAATTAGGCATCAGTGCTGGACTGCAGACGCCGCTCCGCCATTGTTTTGAACCCATCACCTTATTCCTGGGTTCGCCCCACCTCCTTCCCAGAGATGTGGCAATCAGTGCCGTAACAGCAGGCGTGCTTTCAAGTGCTCGTCAGAGGTTACTAGAATAGCTGACCATTCCCAGGCACTCACTGTCCCAGGCCCTGCAGTAAGAACCGCATGTCTATTATCCCACTGAATCCTCATTATTTTATGAAGTAATGTGCTGTAAGGTTTTACAGATGGGGAAACCAAGGCTTCAAAGACTTAGTAACTTGATCGAAGTCACCCATTGAGTCAGCAGCAGACATGGCCTTGAACTGTGGAGCAAGTGATTTTTGGGGTATGCTAGTAATTAGTTCTGTTGTAGCTGCCCCTCATTTTTTCTAGTTTCCAATCTCCCTTCCCAAAGCAGATAGACTTCACACAAAAGTGTGAGCTTAAGGTCACACTTTTCCTTTAGTTCTACTGCCTGGCCAGTGAAACAATAAAGTGGGAGACAGGAGACCTATGTTTAGTCTGTTATGACATTAACCATTAAATATTATTAATCATCTACCAATGAACAGTGTCCAAGAAGTGAGATATGCAGAAAGCCACAGTATTTTACAGACATGTAAAGAAAATGCTTTAAGAACCAACGGATGCCTTAACGTCCTTGGTTGAGAGAACAAGGGACTTCAGAGCTAATGTCATGTGCTTTTACTGTTGCTCTGTTACAGCCATTTGACCCGGTTAAAAAGGCCTGGAGGAGAAATCATTGGCATTCAGAAGCTGAAGTCAGATCACACTTACCAGACAGCCCTCTTGAGTGGCTCGGATGAGGAATGAGAGGCCACCCGTCACCAGTGCGGGGTGGATGTGCCCCTCTGAGTACAACATGCCAGAGTGTGCAAAGAGGTAGCTCATCTCCCTTCCAGTGCCTGCTGTGGTCTGCTCTGAAGGGTTTATATATTGGCACCTTCTCATTAAACTAAGGTTTCTGTGGCTATGGTATCCTTCATAGAGAAAAATGAAGCAACAAGCCCTTATTTACGTTCCTGTATGAAGGGAAATCAAAGACTCTGAAAGTTTCAGAATAGGATGTGGCCTCATGGATGAATGCAGGATATGAATCCAGCAGAAAATACTGCTTTTGATAAATTATTCCTTTTTCTCTCAAGAAAACAGGTACTTTCTTAGAGAAATTAAGTAAACAAGACTGCCTTTATTTTAAAGATGCAATTCTAGCACATATATTTTTTTTAAAGTAAAAATTCACAAGCTTGGTACTTTAAATATTACTTGTCAAACATTTCCTAATTAACCATTAATACTCCAGAATACTGCATACTATTGATAAGTGATGATGCTGGGCCAAAGGTGATTTTTTTTTCTTCTTTTTTTTAAATCAGGAAGCTAGTTAGTGGCCCAGCTGAGAGCTGGAACATAGATGTTCTGGGTCCTCAAAAGTACTCTAATAAGAAGATGCTAACAGGAAATTTGTATAATGAGGTAGAGAGAAAAAGTCAGGTTACTAAAGACCTTGAATTTAAATATAGCTGAAAGCAGAGGGTAAGAATTCTGCAGAGGAATCTTCAACCAGTAATGTAAAGTCTCAACACTGGATCTTCAACCAGTAATGTAAAGTCTCAACACTGTAATGTTGGTTCTGGATGTTTTTTGTTTTTTAACTTCCTTCAACAAATATTTATTAAACATCTGCTTTGCACCAGCATGGAAATGGTTGGAAGGATCACTGAGATACCTGTCCAACCAGGAATTCAGTCTAATGGGAGAGATATGCAACCAGTTACCTACAGGGTGATTGGTGCCATAAGGGGTAAGTGCAACTACCGTGAAACACAAGGGAGGGGAGGAGATGGGGAGTCTGCCCTGTAGAAAAAGCACATTCCAGGCATAGAGAACAAGAAGCACAAAGGTCACGAAATCATGAAGGAACACAGAGTTAAGTTCTACAAACTGACAGAAGTGGGCTAGGACAAGCTGGAAAGGTCTTCCAGACCAACAGTACCATTTGTGTGTACAGCACTCCCCTCATTCTGAAAGGCACTGTCTCCCATGTGACTTGCACAACCACGTGTAATGGAAGCACACTGGGTTCTGCAGAGAAGCTGATGAGCCGAAGGTCACAGAGCTACAAAGTCGCAAAGCCAGCCTTTAGGACTACAAAGCCAGCTTACTTCTCGATAGAGGACCCCCTCCCCACGACCACTACTTCATACAAATACAGCAGAGATCTTCAACATGAAGCACTGTGTGTTCTTTGGCAGAAATGCACTTACGTGAGAGCTGACCTCCCACAGTTAGCCAGCACTTCAGTACTGAGTTCACAACTAAGGGGTTAAAAATTAGCTACCTGAAACTGGGATTTAATTATGAGAAGAGAACCTGTGGGTCGCCTTTCAGGATCCACTTCCATTTGCCTGCTAAGTAGGAACCCAAACATCCATTCAGTTAGTACTGGAGGACCCATTATGCGCAATTAACATAAAACACATTCTTTCCTTAGAGACTGGCATGGGGGTAAGGAACCTACTTACAGTGTTAGTTGCATGTAAAGATCTCCACTGCGGATGGAAGGGGCGAGGACAGTGCAGCACACTGTAAGGAAATGTATTTTCTCCAGAGTGAGGGGCTGAGGTGTGAAGATCAGAGAGAAAACACTGATTACTGTGACGCCCCTTTCACGGCACCTTCATGGAACTCATCTACCCTGGAGAAAAATCTTAGAAGTGGTATCAAAATACAAACCCATCACCGTGCTAGTCACCAAAGTCAGTCTTAGGCACACAGTCTGAATAACTGTACCAACCTCTGAACCTTGGTACACAGGCTCAATTGTTCCCATAAGTTCTTCTGGACATGTTCCCCCAAAGTATCCACCATAGCTCCCACATCTCTACAAGACCCTTGAGGTCTGTATCCAAGGAACCATGTTTGATGCAAATGCTGCTCACATCCCTTGAACAACTCCAGCAGGGGCTGCCATTCCTCAGCACTCCACCGACTGGCCAGGCCATACCGAATCGTACTCACCAGGGACCCAGGCCTATCCTAGCATCCTGAAACGTCCCTGTTCTCTGAGCACGCAGGTGGAGGTCTCCAGGCACTAAGGAGACAGACACGGCCAGGTGACTTTAGTAAACAAAAGAGGGAGGCAGGGCTGCGGCTGAACGTCCCAACTACTTTCCTGCAATCTCTTGCTAAGTAACTTCAGGAAGGGTGTATTTTAACCAGCAATAAAGACCTGAGACAGGGTCCCTCAGATGTCTACCATTTTCTCATTTAGAAACTGTCAGGTGGGCTCTTCTTAGGAAACAATGACATGCAAATATCAAAGGACTGGAAAAAACAGATGCCCTCTCCTCCACTCAGCTAAAAGGCCATTTTTCTTCTTCATGGCAGTCCCTACCTTTCCCCCTTCCTAGTCTGACTTCTGTGCCAGCCCCCGATCACTTCAGCCAATTCATGTCCGCGCTCTGTAACTGGGGCTTACCACCCTTACTCCAACTTGTCCCCACTTCTCAGCAGGACCCATCACAGCCACCCTCCCCTGGGGAAGGCAGCAAAAAGGATACTTGACTTAGAATCAGAAGACTGGATTTACATCTTGCTTCTCTTTAACCTCAACTCAGACTCGCCATTTGTCACAGGGATGAGAAGTCAGAAGAGGGATAAGAATGTCTATTTTATAGAACTGCTTCAATAATCAAATCTGAGGTCTAGAAAGCCACCAGCCGCTCTGACCTCTGCAGCCTATCTCATCACTCAGCACCACCGAGCAACCCCCTCTGAACTAGGCCACTGAAATTTTCTGCCCCTTAACTTCACTTCCTCCCCAGACCACATAAAAGATCATCACTGAATTTCCACAGATTAAAGACACGTTTTTAATAATCGGGACACTCTCAAGAGAGACAAGGAAGCTCTGACCCTGCAGGAAAGCTCCACCATCCAACCCCTGCTCCCACACAAAAGAGGCCTATGCTGTTAACAACCAGGGCTTTAATTACATCTGACAGTTTCCAGTATTGTTCGGAGCTCTGCCTAGAGCTTGGTGACACAGCCAGGATGAAAAGACTGGTAAATCCCAGCTGACCTAAGACCGAGCTGCAGGGTGCGCACACCACTCTCTTCTTGCTGTCTCTACTCTGGAGCAGAAGTCAGCAAAGTTTTACCTAAAGGGCCTACAGATGTATTTTAGGCCTAAGAGCCACACAGACTCTATGGCAATGACTCAGGTCTGCCTCTCACTGAAAGCAGCCATGAGTAATACAGAGACAAATGGCCACAGGCTGTGTTCCAATAAGACTTTATTTACAAAAACAGGTAGCCAGCCCCGAGGCTGTGGTTTGCAGACTCTTGCTCTGGAGCAAAGCAAACCTATCATCTCTGAACTGTAATAACGTCTGAGCTGCGACAGCAGCATTTCTGCTGGCACTTGCCTACTCTGTCCACTGACTCTGGACTTTGGTTTGAACAGGCTTGACAAGGAGGACCAAGTCAGCAGGTGAAGGTAAGGACCACAATCAAGATCCTGATGCCTCATCTTTATGAGATGGTGCCAAATTCATACCATTTTGGGGAACCCGCACTCTCTCACTCCCTAGGGTTCCTGACCACCTTAAAGCCTCCCCACTACTATGCAGTGATCACGTCAGCCACCAACTTACTAAGAATCCTGCTATTCTCTCATTATGGTCAAGAGTAAGTCCTCAGTTTGAGGGGCGGGGGAAGAGGGCTAAAGCCCAAGTTTCTATTGGATAAACATGTACAATAGGTTCTTTAAAAAAATAAGTTACATAAAAATTTCTGGACACAAAACTCCTATCTAGACCACTAGTCACAGAGAAGAGCAGAAGCTAGAAAATCCAATCCCCACAGAGAACATGGCTTCCTGCCCGTCTGCACACTCTGTGGCTATGAACCTGCCCCTGGTGTCTGGCTCTTAGGAAGAGAACTGGGGCTCGTGTGGCACAACAATGACCTCACGCAACCCTGACAGAGGAGCTTCTCCCGATCGCAACCGCACGGCCCCAGGAAGTCTGGCGGGGACTTTTCCGGTGTGCTCCACCATGGAGTATGGCGGCAGATTCCAGGCCACGGATGCCGTCATGCCACTGCCGGCCTTCCCCAACCAGGCAAGCTGAGAACGCCGCCACCTCCCTGCTCGTCTCGGCCAGGAGGGCAGACCGGGCGGGCGTGCATGAGTGCGTGCACGGATGCCATCTCTCTCTCCCTGAATCACTGCTGTTCAGGTGCCTGTTTAGGAGATGGAGCTGTGGTCACGACGACAGTGGAGACTGCTTTGGAGGAACCAGAAGCTGTTCCCTGTTGAAGATGGGATGCGGGGACAGTCTGGATGCGTACCTGTGTACAAAGACAGAAGGTCCGGTTAGGAGGTCACAGATGAGCCCCTCAGCTGCAAAGAAACCGTGACAGGGAGAGAAGCCTGGTATGGCCAACAGCTCGCCTTGGCCCTTACCTGTGTGGCCTGACCTTGTTGCTGAAGCTGCTGCAACTGCTGGGCAGTGAGGAAACTCACAGGCTTATTGCCAGCAATGAGCTTAGTACCCGCTGGCATGGTGGTGAGGATGATATTGCGGCCCAACCCACTGAGGCTGTGGAGGGAAAGCAGGGGTGAGGCGTCATTGATAGGCAAGGTGTCACCTCTGGCCCAGAAGCAGGCTGCATGCTTAAGGATAACAGGGATATCTGCAGTCATGTGAAAATTCCTGCATTCTGGACTGAAATGGAAACCAGCTGGTGAGACCACCTTTCTCCTAGCTTCTAGGCTTCCCATAAAGCCCCAAGGCCCTCAGCGCTCTGAATACAACAGCTCTGACACTGTACCCAGATCAGCAGAAATAATGGACAGGACTCCAGGGAAATGTGCATTCCAGAAAAGAAACTCTTCCCCAAGAGAGCTGTCTTAAGACTATCTGATTTCATCATGCCCCTTATCCCTGTTTAGGTCAGGACCACACAAAGCCCCCAGGTAAGTCCTCCTCCTCTGAACTACCCTAACACAGGGCTCAGTGTCAAAATGATGCCTTCCCTAACACCCACACTGCGAACTGCCATCTGAGCCACAGTACCAGCCCAACCCATCCCAGCACTTCCCATCCCCCTCCTTTTTTCTCCATAGTACATCTCACCATGCTACATGGTATTTTACTCCCATTATTTCACTCCTCCCTCTACAATGTAAGCTTGAAAACAGCATGGCCTTTTGTCTGTTTTAATCATGGCTCTGTGTCCCCAGCATGTTTTTAAACAATACTAGGTACTCAATAAATATGTTAATGAGCAAAACAAAGCAGAAATATCCAAAAGCCCCAGAAACACAAGCTGCCCTTCCCCTGTGTGGCAGGGAGCCATGTGGAAGCCCTGCCCTTCACGCCAGCACTTACTTGGCTCCAAGGTTGCCTTTGATGATGGGGGCCGTGACCACACTTTTGCCCTTCATAGGCTGGCTAATAACAGACAGTGGAACCGTGATCCTCGTGGGCAGCTTCCCCTAAAGAAAAAAAGAAATAAGGCTCACGGCATAGGAGGGAAGAAAAACCACCAAGTGTCACCTACTGGGCCACCAACTAGGAGCAAGCACCCCGATGCTCTCATTTCCTATACTCTGCAGGGGCCCAGTATTTCTGAGGGGTGGGCCCAAGCTGCTCTCCTATAATTGCCGACAGGCTGTAGTAGTGTTCATTTATTCTATTTAGGTCTCTTCTGACGTTAACCATCCTCCTTCATGCACCCTAAAGCAGCAACAAACACAGATAACCACTGCCATCAGCATAAACACGTGTACGAAACTGCAAAGGGAAGCATCGTGTTCACTTAAGCACAGTAGGAGTCTGAGCTCCGTAGAGGGTAGGCTCTCAATCATCCATGTACCTCCCGATACTTGGCACACAACTACTATGGGCAGGAAGTGTGACGAAGGACAGAGGCACGCCGCAGTTACTAAAGTGCCCAGTCCTGCTTCCCTGGAGCGGGTCTCACTGGCGCGGTGCACACAGCTCTGCATGCTAGATTGGGAACAAGTCACATTTTCCAGGTGCTTTCCCTCTCTCCCAGAGATAAGAGAGGTTAGTTAAGGGACATTAATAATAAACTCAACCAAGTGAAAAGTCCAACCCCAAAGCCAATAAAGGCCGAAAAGGAACAAAGTAGAAGGTGAACAAGCCTAGAGTGTTTGCATTTCAGGATGGCGAAGATTAGCTCACTTTATCACCGATGTTCAGGCTGCCTGCTTAGCCCTTGGCTGGTAATAAAATTTAAACACAGTAAAATCTTGTGTAAATCTGATTTTTAAAAATGATTCAAGGGGCGCCTGGGTGGCTCAGTGGGTTAGAGCCTCTGCCTTTGGCTCAAATCATGATCCCAGAGTCCCAGGATTGAGCCCTGCATCAGGCTCTCTGCTCATCGGGGAACCTGCTTCCCTCACTGCCTACTTGTGATCTCTGTCTGTCAAATAAATAAATAAAATCCTTAAAAAAAAAAAAAATGATTCAAGGGACGCCTGAGTGGCTCAGTCATGCTCGGGTCATGATCCCAGGGTGCTGGGATCGAGTCCTGCATCAGGCTCCCTGCTTGGTAGGGAGCCTGCTTCTCCCTCTGCCTGCTCTGCCTGCTGCTCCCTGTGCTTGTGCTGTCTGATAAATAAATAAAATCTTAAAAAAAAAAAAAAAAAAAAGGTTCAAGTGGGGTGGTCATTAGGATACTCAGAAAAGGCATCAACACTTCCCAAGGGCAAGCTATTTCTCAAGAAGCCAGACACTCAGGTACAAAACTGTGTCACAGGTCCCCATACCAATCTCCAGCTGATGCACAAGTTGTAGCCCATCAGAAAGCTCAACGATGTCAACAGACAAGAGAATAACTTGAGATGGTACCTCCAGGTGGATTTATTTATGGTTTCATTTTCTTAAGAATGCCTCAGCTGGGGCGCCTGGGTGGCTCAGTGGGTTAAAGCCTCTGCCTTCGGCTCAGGTCATGATCCCAGGGTCCTAAGATCGAGTCCCGCATCGGGCTCTCTGCGCAGCGGAGAGCTGCTTGCCCCCCTCTCTCTCTGCCTGCCTCTCTGCCTACTTGTGATTTCTGTCAAATAAATAAATAAATAAATAAATAAAAATCTTAAAAGGAAAAAAAAAAGAATGCCTAAGCTGCTTTCAACCTTTCAGACCACCATAACACCAGCTGGAATCGTCCCTTTGTGAACAGCCTAACTCGCTGACTAGACCGGGAAAAAAATCACTGCTTTATGCTTCGTGCCTCTCACAGGCTCTTGGGCTGTGACGGAGTAGATGCCACAGGCTTACTACGTTTCTGTGTTAGGAGAAGGATTCAAAGAAACAGAAGTGGATCAAGTACACACTGTCTTCTTGCTTCCTTAACTTTTGTGATATGAGAACCTAAATAAATATTTTCTTTTAAGCCACACTATATTTCAGGGTTTTTTGGCCGGCTGGTTTTACTAATGTCCTCCTTCCTCCACCACTCTGGCTTTTATCCAAATTCCTGAGGATTTACTATGTATGTTGCTTAGAAAAGTAAAACTGTGTTTAATACTGTGCATATGCACCCCACTCTACAGAAGAATGCTCCCTATCCACAGGCTAAAGAATAAAAACACGCACCCAGAAACACACCTATGTTGACATGGGAATTGGCTTTATGATAAGTGTAGTATTTCAAGTTAGTGAGTAAGGGATAAATTGGTCAGTGATGTTGGAATAAAGTAAGAAATATAAAATGACATCTCTACGACATGCCATTCACTGAACATATTTCAAATGCATTATCAACTACACTTTTTCTAAAACCCTGAAAATATTTTATTAAAATGAAGGCTAATATCTTTATTCCCTGGAGTAAGAAAAGCACAAGACGCAAAACCCAGGAACCATAAAAAAAAATGTTGATCTAAACTGATAAAATACCTGTAGAGCAAAGGCTCTGTGCGCAAGGTTAAAAAATGACAGGCTGGAACCAAGTATTTTCTACACACATCAAGAATAACATCCAGAAGAAATAAAGAGCCACCTCAAACAACGGGAAAAAGCCAAACACCCCAGAAGAAAACTGGCAAAGATTTATTTACCCCTGGACAGCACATGGCAAAATGGATGCCCAGCTCCTCTAAAGATCAGAGAAATGAAACAGAAGAACTCTCTTCACCAGTGACAGAAAGTTAAAACAAATCCCAGGATACCCAGCATTGGTTAGGAGAGCTGCCAAGGGGAGTGTAAGGTGGTGTGAGGTTTTTGGTTGCGTGACTGGTGTTAACAAAGCTTTCCGTGTGTATCCCTGCCCCCTTCTAGCATCCTCCACTCCGCAGATGCTTTTCTGCATTCACCACAGCACTGGTCTTCAACAGAACAGAGGTTCAAGCACACCCCTTCTTAGAAAAGTAAAATACGAATATGCACTAATACAGGATTACCATGTATCAGTAAAAAGAATGCTATCAATATCCACAGGGGATCTAGAATAATCCCCAAGATATATTTTTAAATAAGTAAGGCAAAGCACAGAACGGTATACAGATTTAAGGTCTCTCACAGGGATTTCTTTTCAAACTATGTGTACATACTGCATGAAAACGCTCAGGAAAAGGACACGAAGGATAAATGCCAAAATACCAGTAGTAATGAGCCCTCATGAAGAGTGAAGTAGAGGGTGATTGAAAAAATTTTATCTTTTACTCTAAGTACTTTTGTACTGTTTTAATCCTTTATGAGAACGAACACATATACTACTTCATAAATTTGTTTAGAAAAAAAGCTAGTAGGCTAGTAGGCTAGCTAGTAGGCTTAAAAAAGCCTACTAGGAGGTAAGCCTGTTTGGGTCAAATGAAGCAATACAGAGAGGGTGTACTCTCCGTTCCTAAAAAGAGAAGCTCCCTAAGCAAAAGGGCTACTCTTCCCCGTGTTACTCACAGCCTGGGACGTGGAAACCACCGTGGTGCTGACAGGGACCTGCCGCACTGCAGAGGCTCCCGTCCCGATGCTGATGGGCGTGCTGGCAGCCCCAGAAGCCACGGCCACAGTCTTGGACACAGCAGCATTCATACTGGGCAAGGACACCGCTGAAGTATGGACAGTTCCAGACCCACTGGCCACTGAGGACCCTTGCTTGGCATGGGTCGCAACTGTGATGGTCTGGCCTGCTTTGGGGGGCATCACTCCCAGGCCCTGCACGATGCGGATCGTGGCAGCCGGTTTTGCTTCTGAAGAAGCCACCGTGTTTTTCGCCTTCTGGTCTGCCACACTCACACCAAGTGCTGGCATCAAGCGGAAAGCTGAACTTGAGGCTTCTGTTGGCTTGAGGTCAGGAGTCACTTTAACCACGGTGGTACCTGTTGGAGTGGACGAAGGGGCACTGGCTGAACTGGCCTTGGCAGGGCTCTCCGTGGCATGGACCGGATTGGAAGTGACGTGTAAGGTAGCAGAAATGCCTTTGCCCGCAGTGCCGCTTCCTGTCCCAAAGAGGTCCTGGGTCAATTTGACTGTCGTGACCTGGGACTTGGCCAATGTGGCCATCATGTCCGGAGTGATTCGCAGAACCGTCTGGCCTTTGGCATCTGTGGTGATGGAAGAGGGTGGCAGACGCAGGACATCCTTACCCTGGATACGGAAGTTAGTGGCTGTGAGTGGAATGCTGTTGCCCGTCTGGGGCTTCACACCGAGCTGCCCAGTGATGGCCACCTGGATAGGGAAAAAAGAGCACTGACAAGGGGATCCACGGTGCTAAGAAGCTTGTGTAATGAGACAAACCTCCATTTCCTGGGGATGTGTGCTTCAGATATTTTTCTAACTTTTTGTTTTGAAAACTGGTGAACGTTTACAAAAGTGGAGAACGGTGTATAACAAATCCATGCACCCAGCTTCAAAGTGATCACTTTGCCAATTTTGTTTCATCTGCCCCACTTTTCCTTTTTTGAGGGGGTGACAGAGGAGTTGGAATATTTTAAAGTAAACCACTATATCATTTTATTGATCAATACTTCTGTACTCACTTCTAACCTAGAAAAGGACTTTTTTTTAAAGTAAAAAAAAATCACCTACACATTAGACCAGATGGGTTTAACAGACATATATGGAACATTCCATCCCAAAAGAGCAGAATACACGTTCTTAAGTGCACACAGAACATTTTCCAAGACAGATCACATATTAGGCCACAGCCTCCACCCCAACACACCCAACTACTAAAACCTAATAATCATCTATAAATAGTACCTAATAATATATATTTGCATTTCCCCAACTGTTTCAAAAATGTCTTTTATTTACAGTTATGATGACCTTTAATTTCAAGAGCAGACAATGGCACCAGTGGTCCACAGCATGGGCTTTGGAGCCAGACTTCCTGGATTCCTACACCAACTCCTATCTAAGGTCACTGTCCCATGTGTAACACATGAACTCTTCTAGCCTCAAGGACCTTCTCTACGTTGCATTTCCCCCTCTACTGGATGACTGCCATCAGTATGCAAAGACCTTCATTTACTAAAAAGCAACAGACCTTCATTTACTCTACATGCCACCCCCGCTCCCAGCCCCACTTCTCTGCTCTCTTCAAAAACAGAATTGCTGAAAAACTGCCAATACTCCTTGTCTCTATTTCCTCACCTTACATTCTCTCTTGAACCCATTCCCAAACAGCCACCAATCCACTGGTGGCCAGTCAAGCAAGCAGAGAGTGATCCGCCTGCAGCCTCACGTCTCTCACACTTTCACAGCCAATACAGGTGCTGACTTCATAAACACACTGTTCTCTAGGTCTGAATTCCAGTATCTGCCCCTCAGTGTTTGCAAGCTCGGGAGATGATACCTAATCATCTACCTAATGAGAGATCTACCTAATCACTCAAGCCCGAAGCTGTGGAACACACTCAAATCCCTTCTTTCAACAGACCCCCCTAATTTGCCCACCGGAGAATCACACAAGCTCGACCACCAACCGTATATCCAGAATCCCAGCACCTCTCCGACCTCCAACGATGATGCACACAAGCCAGCACCATCTTCCTGGACTGCCTTGACTACCTCCCAGTCTCCCTGCTTCCATTCCTGTCTCCTGAAGTCCATCCTACGCAGCAGCCAGAGAGCTTTTTAAACATAAACCAATCAACTTATTCTGGCCCACGATCTTTCAGTGGCTCCCCACGTTAAAATTAAAATCAAAGTGTGATGTGATTTAACCACAGCCAACTTCCCAAGCAACCCCCTTCGAACACTTTCACACCTGCTTGCTAAGTTTCACACACAATGGCTTTCCCGTTGCTCCTCAAGCGTATGACGTGAAAACAACGGATTCCCTGCACTTTCATTTACTTCATCGGAGTAAATGGCCTTAGCTAAAATGGCCCACTGTCACTCTCTACCCCTCTCCGTTTACTGCTCTCCTTAGCTACTACACCTGTCCCGGAAGCAGCTCTGTCCCCCAGCTCTATGAGAAGATAAGCTCCAATAAGGCAGGGATTCGGTCTCTTGGAATACACCACTACATCCCCAATACTCTGGACGGTGCCTGGCACAAAAAAAGCACTCAATAAATATTTGTTCAATGAAAACAATGACATTATTTTACCATTAGATGACTCCATTTCTTCATGTATAAAAGAAGGATAATAAAAGCATCTATCCCATGGCATTATGAGGATTAAATTACACAGTCCTTATAAAAGCACAGTGCAGGCACATGAAAAGCACATCACTGCTACTGTGCCTAATAATTCTTTGTGGGTTTTTTTGTGATTTTTTAAAAAAATATTTTATTTTTAAATAATCTCTGCACCCATAACTCACAACCCTGAGATCAAGAGTCACATGCTCCACCGACTGAGTCAGCCAAGTGCCCCACTATTTACCAATTGTTCAAAAATTCAATGATCATCCTTGCATATTCACAAGCAGGAAAGTACAAATGTATCCTACTGTTATCAGAGATAAGCAAAAACACCAACAAAGTATATGTTATACCACAAGATTGTCATTAAATAAATTCATGGAACATCTACTCTGAATCCAGAAACTAACTGCTAATTTATACGGAAAAGAAATAGAAGAAATCTTTGGCATCTAAAAGACTACACCAGGGAACTTACCCTTGAAATACCCATGAGCTAAAGATCAAAGATTACAAATCATTAAAATCTCCAACAGTCCTGATTTAGGACAAAGGCATCGAATCCACCCAGAGATTTCCACCAACCTGCTTGATGATGTTCTGTCCTGTGACATTCTGAATGACAGCAGCCGTGGAAGCACTTGGAGCGGAGCTTCCGGGAGAACTCGTGGCTGGCTTGCTTGCGGGGTTGGCTGTGGCAGGGAGACTGGTCATAGTGAGCCCTGTCTGCCCGGGGCCAGGACGCTGCACAGTGGCTGCCGCAGTCTGCGCTTTGACTGGAACAGTGGCCATAACTGTCTAGTTCAAGTGTGAGACCAAGAGCTTGATTAGAAACCGAAATGCAGCCCAGCCCACCAAGCTGCCTCCAGCATGCCCCCAGCCAGAAGTGTCCCTCTAAGAACACATGTACTCTACCACTGCTTAAGGCTCGCTACACTCATAAGCAGACACTGTAAAGTTCTTGTATCTGTGTGGAGCGTCTTAATTTTCAGAAAGCTTTCAGGCTGAACCTCCCATTTTATTCCTACACAATGAGAACAAATATTATACCCCTTTTAGGGTAAAGGAAACTGAGGCAGGAGGTAAGACTCTTCTCTAAACTTACCCAACTAGTTAATGGCATGACTAAGATGAAAGGCACAACGTTAGGAACCTGAGATTTAGAAACACATCCCACCTCCACGAGTGTCCTGACATTACAATCCTGGGTAAATCACTAAACTTCTCGGAAGTTCTGATTCCCACCATGTAAAACACAACTTATCAGTCATGCTTACTCGGCTGTGAACATTAAATGAGCTGCTGCGTCAGGCTCCTTGGTTCCTCCCCAGCCTGCCCACTGGACTCATGAGACCATGGTGGGGTCCAGGATTGCTGTCCCTGTTTACCTGGGGCATGACTTTGGTCTGTGGAGCGCTGGCTGGAGCGCGAATCTGTGGTCCCGCCGGCATCTGGGGCAGCGTCTGTGTCTGCCCCGTGGACTGCTGAGGCACAGTGGGAAGGCCCGGCTGGGCCACCACCCGTACCTGGGGCAGTCCAGCCGAGCCAGAGTGGCTCACGACACGGGCGGGGGCCTGAGAACTTGGTGGAGTCTGGCTGGAAGCCGGGGAAAGCATTGTTCCTAGCTGTGGCATTGTTGGTGAAGACACCAGAAGAACACTGCAAGGAGATGGGGAAATGAGGGGAGTGGAGGGGAACCTGACAAAAACCAAACACTTGAAGCCACGCATCCGAAAGGCCTTTAGAGGGAGAAAGCAGGAGGAAAAAATGGAGGACCTTACCCTGAGCTAGATTTAGCTGGTTCTGAGACAGTAGCAGGGCCACTTTTGTTCACTGCTGACACAGGTGGAGGGGAGATCGGAGTGGCAGGCAGAGCTGGAGTGGTGGGGGTCACAGGTGTGACCGGGGTGGGTGGCATGCTGGAGTCACTGAGGCTCATCTGGCTCTGCTCGGAGGGACCACTGCTGAGGACCTTCAGTGAACTCTCCTTGCTACCGGATTTCTACAGGCAGAAGAGAAATGCAGGTGCAGTTTAACCAAAGTCACCCAAGGATGGCACGGCGCTGCGGTTCAAGGCAGCTGTCCTCAGAGATCACTTACCACCTTGGACTGGGGCTTGGGTTTTTGCTGAAGGGCTTTCCGCGCCTTCGCTGCAGCAGCTTGTGCCTGGTGAATCCGCTCTGCGAACAAGAGTGGTAAGCCTCAGCACAGTACGCAGGGCGGCTTCATTAAGAGCCAAGCCCTGGCTGGTGGCCTCCCCAGCAGGCTAGGTCCTGCCTGAATGTCACTGGGAAGTGTCATGGCCCTGGGGCGGGAAGCCGAAGCACCCCTAGTCTGCTCGGGGCCTCAACGCACCGAACTCCTCCTCACTCCGGTCTCGATGCAGGTAGATCCACAGCTTTCGCCCGATGTCGTATTTCACACACGGGTCTTTCTCATAATGCAGCCGATCCAGCGCTCCACTCACCACTGTGTTCACCTGAGAACCAGAGCAAAGGGGAAAGGGACCCGTCAGACTCGGACACCAGAGGCAAATCGCCAGGTGTTAAGCTGCAGGTGACAAACAGACCCTCTCCGGCCTGCTGGCCATACTGCCGACGGCTCACTGCAGCACCTAGGAACACTCCCAAGATTCCTGAGAGACTGAGCTGCTCCCCGAAGGAGCGGGAACCAAGAAGCCACAGAAGCTGAAGGAAAGTGCGAGAGAAATATGTGTTCCACAGGGTCTTAGGTCATCACTGTTCCCCTTTCTCAGGACCTCTTCCTTTCCTTTTCTTCATTCAATTAAAAAAAAAAACTATGACATTTTATGTTTTCTTGTAAGTTTTCTTAAATACGTTCTGAAACAAACACGATCTCTTTTCCATCTTACCTGGGTGCTGGTGACATCTGGGGCAAGAAACTGGGAGTCCTTGAGCAGCTCACAGATCTCTGCCCGGGTACCTTCCCCATTAGGCAGCCGGGCCGCAGCATCTCGAACTGATGGCATCAGAAAATGGAAAAGTCCAAGAGTCAAGCATGGCTGCCACTGAAGAGCACTGTCCTCTAAGCAGCTCACTGAGGAGGAGTGCCTCAGCCTTAGTCAGACTCAGCATTATCATCTATTATGACAGTAATAAGGGGGCAGTGTCCTACACCCTTCATATGTTCAGGCAAGACTAAAGTCCGTAAATTCAGGTGGGAAAAAATTTTCCACATCTGACTGAAATATAGCATTTCCTTCAATTATGAGCAAAGGTAACAAATCTTATGTTGGCAGTGATAGGATCAGAAATCAGGTATTTTCATTATCACATCACAGCATCATTTCCACTCAACACTATTTGGAAATTATAGGAGATAAAAGACCTGCTGCTGAGAGTTGTCATTTAATATTGTAATAAAAACATACATATTTCTGCATCATAAATTTAACATTTTGATAAATATTTTAACAGGACCATTTTCTTTAGTAACTCTATGCATTTCATTTTATGCATTTAAATACCAAATCCTGAGGTGGAGTCTGTAGGATTTACCAGACCACCAAAAAGCTTCACGGCATAAAAAAGTTAAAAACCTCATCTTTAAAATGCTCAGTCTAGAGAAAGCAAATTCCCAAACTTAACTATTTAGCTGGCCTGTGAAAAATTTCTACATGGAAAATAAATGTGAGCCTAGACTTCAGGGGAGAATCACGGATTCCCACATCAATCTCTGCGGACAGAATTCCCCCTTCGTGTCCCAAACTCCAAGGCCTCCTAAAACTGATCTGACCCTCAAAGCCCCTCTCGGAGTTAGCAGGGGACACAGCTGATTACAGAAAGAAGGGATCCCTGACAAGAGACAAATGGCACATACCAAGAGACAGGATGGTGACATAGGCAGGCCGGTCAGAGCGTAGCAGGGAGTGCTCCCGAGCCTTGTTGAGTGAGGTCTCCTTGTCAAAAACACCCTTCACAGGCCCCACTACAGATTCGAAGCCATGCATGCGAAAGGTGAACGCCTTATGAGGTTGGCTGTATCTGTAGCGTTCCTACCAAGAGAAAAGAGACAGGGCTCCTAAGTCACAATTAGTGGGGTTCTAACATTTTCATACAATAAGGGGTTGACCTGGAGAGACTAAAACAAGGAAAGAGGTTATTGCACTAGGAATACTGAGCCAAACGTAGTGGGAAAAGGATGATTTCCAAAGAGCTCACCAGCAAAGGGACAGAGAGAGAAATATAGAGGTATTCTGCTGTCTGGAACAAAAGCCCATCAAAACATTTGTTTTGAAAACAAAATCATTTGTCTTCTTCACACCAATTCCACCCCAGCAAACAATCTCAACCAGGAGAAGATCTAAGGTTAAGGGTGTGAGTTTCCTCTAATATGGACTCAAGGAGAGCCAGGCTCAGAGCTTTCTCTGCATGGTCCCATAGATGAAAGGATTTTCAGTGGGTATTAGCAATCCCTTACCTGCTCCTGAAAAACTCGTTTCTCCTCCCCCGTGCTGGGCCGCACCACATAATCAGTTCTTCTGGAACATAAAGAATTCTGTATCCATCACCCCTTCTCCAGTACCCAGAACCAGTCCTTTGCACCATGAAAAAAATTTCCCTTCATTAGTATTCTGTTCCTGCAAAGGCCAAAAAGTCCACTTTCCAGACCCTACCAAGTAACTCCTGTATTTCCAAAAATTACCTGAGTCTTAGAAATCCAGAAAGTTATTAGATAGGTGAGAAAGAGGCTGATATTTTTACCTGTTTTCAGTACTGTTGCTAAGTAAACCCGATCTAATGGCAACAAAAAAATTCAGCCTTAGAGGAACAAAGGACTTCAAATTTGTAACATGACAAGAACAGTTTTTCTGCTCCCAAGAGAAAATGAGTTCTACACACTGTTATGTAAGACAACGGTTCTGCCACATTCAGGCTGGCCCTCTGTGCTGGTGCTCAGGGACCTAAAGAACCACACCACAGCATCAAAGCAATAAAATACTTAGAAATAAATTTAACCAAAGAGGAGAAAGATCTGTACACTGAAAACGACAAGAATCTGATTAAAGAAACTGAAGAAAAAAAAAAAAAAAAAAAACCCACACACACACAAATAAACAAAAAGATTGCCTATGTTCATGGACCGGAAAAATACTGTTAAAACGTCTGCATTACGGGGGCACCTGGGTGGCACAATCGGTTGAGAATATCACTCAGTTTTGGCTCATATCATGATCGCAGGATCATGATAAGAGCTCTGATTTGGGCTCTGCGCTCAGCAGGGAATCTGCTTGGGACTTTCTCTCCCTTTCCACCTCCCCACTGCTCTTCTCTAAATCAATCTTTAAAAAAAAAAAAAAAAAAAGTCCAATTACCTTAAATCACCTATAGAGTCAATGTAATCTCTATTAAAAGCCCAATACCATTTTTCACAGAAATAGAAAAAAAATCCTAAAATTTATATGGAACCACAAACAACCTCAAATAGCCACCGCAATCCTGGGAGGCATCACATTTGCTGATTTCAAACTTTATTACAAAGTTATAACAGTCAAAATAGTACAGTACAGCACTGGCATAAAAACAGACACATAAGCCAATGGAACAGAATCAAAAGACCAGAAACAAACCATTGTGTATACAGTCAAACCACTGGCTCCATATTTGACAATGGAGCCAAGAATACTCAGTAAGGAAAGGACAGTCTCTTCAATAAATGGGTGTTGGGAAAAGTGGAAAGCCACATGGGAAAGACTGAATTTGGAATCCTATCCTATACCACTCACAAAAATTAACTCAAAATGGATTAAAGACTTAAACATAACACCTAACACTGTAAAACTCCTAGAAGAAAACATATGAAAGAGGCTTCCTAGACACTGGTCTAAGCAACAATTTTTTAGACATGATACAAAAACACAAGCAATAAAAGTAAAAATATACAAGTAAGACTATTTCAATCAAAATCTTGTGCACTGCAAAGGAAAAAACAAAATGAAAAAGCAACCTACCAAATGGGAGGAAATATTTGCAAATCATAACCACAATGAGATACCACTTCACACGTGTTAGAACAGCTATTACCAAAAAGATAAGAAATAAGCATTAGGAAGGATGCAGGGAAGAGAGAACCACTGTGCACTGCTGGCAGGAATGTAAATTGCTTTAGCCACTACACCGAAATCCTATGGACATTCCTCAAAAAGTTGGGTTGAAAAAAAAAATTAAAACTATCACATGGTTCGGCAATCCCACTTCCGGGTGTACTTCTGAAGGAAATGAAATCACGATCTTGAAAAGGTATGTGCACCTTTATGTTCATCATGGCATTATTTACAATAGCTACACACAGAAACAACCCAACTGCCTATCAATGGATGAATAGGCACAGAAAATGTGGTATGTAATACTCCATAAGACAGAATATTATGCAGCCGTAAAAAAGAAGGAACTCCTGCTATTTGCAACAATATGGATGGCCCTTCAAGGCATTATGCTAAGTGAAATAAGTCAGAGACGACAAATACTGTTATGATCTCACATATGTGGAATCTAAAAAAAGCCGAACTCACAGAAACAGGACAATGGCAGTAATCAAGGGGTGGTGGATGGGTGAAATGGGGAATGGGGAGAGGTTGGTCAAAGGGTATAAACTTCCAGTTAGAACACATGTCTGTTCTGGGGATCTGACGTACAGCAAAATGACTAGTTATCAATACTGTTTCATACACTTAAAAGTTGCTAATAGAGATCTTAAATGTTCTCACCACAAAAATGAACTGATGATTATGTGACATAATGAATATAACTAATATTATGGTAATCGATACATAATATATACATGTATCAATTCAACATGTTGTATACTTCAAACTTACACAATATTGTATGTCAACTCTATCTCAACAAGGCTTGGTGGGGTGGGGGTGGGGGGAGGACAAAAAGGACCACATCAGACTGGAAACTATCATGTGAAAACGATGTGATATAAAGAGCTCATGATTAGAGGCCAAGAGGCCTAAATTCTAGATAGGCGGTCCTGTCACTAACCTTCAGCATGTCATTTAACCTCATGCCTCAACTTCTTCATAGGTAGAATAAGAAAGATCAGGTCCTTCTCAAATGGGAACTGAAGGAGAATCCAGGGAAAGGACTACGCCCTCCGACAAGGTGGATCACAAGCTCTTCAGAGCCTCTACTATGCATGCAACCCTCTCCCCAGTTCAGAATCCTTTGCTTGGAAAGCCATTCTTACTGATGGGAGCATGTTACCCCTCTCAGGTATGTTAAAGCAGGTCAGAATCAGGGGACACCTAGTTCACTATAACACTAACATACTAAGAAATGTCACCAAAACCATGGCAGGACCTTAAACTATAATTTCATGGACTACCACCCCCCATTAAAGTATTATACTCACACCCGAGGTACAGGTGTTGTGGCATCTGAGCTGTCTTCATTTTCTTGCTGGAGAAAGAAGAAACATTAACAGGTAAACACACTAAAGAATTTTGGCTAATTTAAGGACTCTAGAAAACCGCAAGGAAAAGTCTGGTTATTTCTTAAAAACCGTACCTTACAGAAAGCCTGGTCTTTGGTTTCTAGCCATAGCTGGAAGAGTGCGGCTAATTCCTTTTCATTATCTTGGGCCTGGCCTATCAAAAAAATAAAAAGGCAAATAACAACAACAACAACAACAACAACAACAACAACAATAATAATAGAACAATCTAAGGTATTACTCAGAATCCCACTTTCTTCTTACCTGCTGTATCTATGCCAGAGAAAGAACCCATCAGGAACCTATGGTGTAATGGTCCTTTGCACTTACTATCCCCTCAGCCTGTATAGCCTTCCATTCTCTGTCTGCCTGGACCCACACTTCTGATGTTTCCTGAGTGAATCGCTCATTCCCCAGGTATTTGCTGAGCAGCCACCATGTGGACACACTGCATGCTAGGCAGGGTTACTCAGTGAACTCATCTCTGTTCTCATGGAGTTTATAGTCAAGTGAGAAAAGAATACATGTTAATAAAATCTCAAAGTGTAAGGTATCACAAAAAATATCATGAGAGCTTACCCTAGGGAAATTTTCCTATCTTTGTGGGGTCAGAAAAGGCTTCTTCTCATAGTGGGGCAACAGAAGCATTCTACCAACTGGTACAGCAATAAGCAGGCCCTCAGGCAGGAGAAAAGCTTGACCCCCTTGACCCACCTAGAGAAATAAGCTCGTCCCTCTGTGCCCTCCTCCTCTACTACTTTGTTTGGTCTCCTGCGGAAGCACCCATTACAGGACAGTCCCTATGTCTCCTGCCCAGGCTAGAAGCCACAGAGACCACCAGCACTTGGGTCTGCTTGTGGGAAGAATGCAGCCCCCCAGGGCCTACCCTTCTCAAAGCAGCTGAGATGACACTTCTGAGGACTCAAACATGCTCTCCTTCGTCAGGCACAGTCCCCACTGTCCCCGGAAAGTACTGCACTTTCTCATCCTGGAAAGACTCCCCTACTCCTCTGCCTTCTAGAATTGCTCCTAATCCTCTTCTCAATCACTCCCTCCACATCCTTATTGGGTGTGAAGTCTGCTTCTCCACAGTCTACCCTGGGGTGTACTGGCTGCCTATCCTCACAGCCACGCCCTGCTGAGCAAGTTCCTCCTTCCATCCCATCACTGCTGCCAGACTACCTCTCCCCAGCTCTTCTGGAAAATCAAAATAAAACAAAGGCCTGGTCCCAAGACTCTTACCATCACCCATCCACCTGTTCCACCCTGCCCCCTGCTTCTTGCAGCTACTGACCTAGTCATTTCTCACGGAGCACTGGCTCACCTGGCCCCTTACCATGACACTTCCTGCCAGCACACTGGGCAACTAGCACATCCAGATGGACAGTATGGCCAATATGCAAACCTCGTGGTTCTGTCCACACAACCTCCTCCCTCCACTGCACTCCAGCCACTCACTCCCACACTCACAGAAGGTCATTACCTGAAACTCCTCCATCCTCCACATGCCTAATGCAGTGTTCCTCAACCCCAGCCCCATCCACAGAATCATCACCTGGGAACTTTTAAAAACACAGCCCGCCAGCCGACTGCTGGGTGTCCACCACCTGCCCCCACAGTAAGAACTGCACTCTCGCCTGTTGACCAAAGCCAATCCCTTTCCCTCTTTCTCAGGCGTTTTCATGGTGAATTCTCCCTTCTCTTCTGCATTTTCAATCTCCCTCTCTCCACTGTACTCTTCACATCAACACTTAGACTCAGAGTTTCTCTCATTGAAAAAAAATGCCTCTCTTGGCCACAAGTCCCCCTTACTATCCTCCCCTCCCCTGTTAAGCCTCTAAGAAGGTGTTTAGATTCATCGTCTCTTTAACCAGAGGTATGATGGTCAATATTTAACTGACTATAGGAAAGGGGACCCTGACTGGTAGCACCCGCAGATTTCCAAGGGGTACATTACATACGGGTCAGCAAACTGGCCACCTGTCTTAGCTGGTCCACAAGCTTAAAATCCTTATTAGCTGGTCGTATAAGGTCTGTCACCCCGGGCATAGGCCCTCTTCCAGGCTGACTTCCAGCCACCAGTAGGCTGACAGAGTCAGAGAGAGCAACACAGTCAGCAGTCACGGGTTGCCTTCAGCTCCCCACTGTCCTTGATGCGCGTCATCCTGATAAGGAATCACTCTTACAAGAAATTCACCAGTTCTTCCATGTCCTCGAATCCATGGGCTTTATCTTACTGAACCTTAGGATGATCAAGGCTAATGACTACTCCCCACTTCCTGACTGGGTCCTTCCCTGGCTTCCAAGATCCAACTACTTCATGGTTTCCCCCCAAGTCTACAGTCACTTTGGCATATGCTCTCCTGCTCAGCCTGCCCTGCCGTGGAGCTTCTCAAGGCCTAGTCAAAGGTTCTCATTTCTCTTCACTTCACACTGCCTCCCTATGCCTCTGGGTTTGACTACTGTAGATATGCCAACAACTCCCTGCCTTGACTCTCCCATCTGGATTCTAAACCCACACACTCTACTTCCTCTCACCCACACTGCCTACTCAACATTGACACTTAAATACCTCGAAGGCAGCTCACACTCAGCACGTCCAAAACTAAACTCGGGATCTCCACCCTCACCCTCCACAGCTGCCTACCACAATGAATGGCAGCTTCACCACAAGGCACAAATCTAGAAGTGATGCTTGACAGCACTCTCCCTTTACTCCGCACAGCCAGTCATAACCAAGTCGTATGGCTTTAACCACCTACAACTTTCTCAATTTGTCCATTCTCTCTCCTCGCCTCCAGATTCTCATCATCTCTACGTAGGCCCGTGTGATTTTCTCTAATCCAATCTTCCCTAGCTGACCCATACTGCTTCCCCCACATGGAAAGCTCTTCCCCTCCGTCTGCCTCCCTCCCTCCTAGGCATCATTAACATCTCTGCTGAAATGTTCCTTCCTCACCGACACCTTGTCATAAACTTCCATCTTTCTGGTACTTTCCCCTCACAGAATGTATATGTTTGTTTTTTCATGTGAATGGATATTTGTTCATTATATACTCTGGCACCTAACACAATCCCTGACATCTAAAAGCCAAATAAACATTATAAGGAATAAATTAATCTACTGCATTTAAAACCTTCTCTCCCTTCACAGACCACTCTAGGGGGAAAAGAGAAAGGTTAGTGAGTTTCAGTAGGAAATCAACATGGAATTTTCCTCTGATTACCATCACTGGTAAGAGTCCTCAAAGTGCTTCAGATACATGATACTAAAACTTAGTAAGTGGGACTTTATAAATTTAAAAAAGAAAAAAACAATCCTGCTACTTGGAAATAGTGTATTCAGGGCTGTCTGACATCCTGCTGCATGTTATCCTCAATAGCAAAGCCCACTGTTAGGAAAGAAAAATAGTTACACTATTGCAGGTTAATCTACAAGAACAGGTGCAATTAATATGACTATGGGTCCTACTGTAAAACAGCCCCACGGATATAAACCCAGCCAGCACCAGAGTGCATTGTCCTAGAAAGGCCATCCACCCCAACTTGGGGGAGCCAAAATTCAGAGGAGGGGTGAAACTTAGACCCTGAGATACCAAAAGAGTCACGAAGGACTTTTTTTACAGATATTTTGCTTCTTTATACTGAGCAAAGTAAGGCTTAATACTGCTGTTCTCAACATCCTATTGGGCTGTACGGACTGGAAGGCAAAAGCAGCTGAGCGGGGATGGGAAAGGATGAAAACCCACTGCTATGAGGAGCAGAATGAATTACTCACCAAGCAATTTCCACTGCTGGGTTTTCTCTTTGAACTCAACAAACGGAGAGAAACTGGAAGGTACGGCTGCCAGGAAATGGATCACATGAACAAGTGGCACAGGTCAGAAAGAGCGCAAAACTCCGAATAACTGCGATCCCTGAGCCCCAAGAGAACTTCTGAATGTTTCATAGTGGATCAGGACAGTGGAGACCCCCACAGCACAGTAGTACATAAAACCACACGGATTTAACCAGGAATGTTGCAGTTTACAGGAAACTGAATTAAACAGGAGGGGGATACTTGACCCTGAGGAAAAAAGTATCTTACCCCGACTTTCCCCAGCAAGATACTGCAGAGCTGGTAACACCAACTCTGCCCAGTTGGGGGCCGCAGAGAACCAGCTGTTGAGGGAGCTGGCAGGAGAGGACTGCCAATCCAAAACCCGTTCCTCCAGCTAAGGGAACACAAAGGCAGAAGCCAGTCAGAGTTCTGTTCCACACCAGGAACCCTGCAGACACGCCCGAGCAAGCTGGAGCCTATCTACAAGTCACGGAGCAAGTGAGCTGCAGAGCTCTGAGAGGAACCCGGAATTTCTCTCCAGCTGAACACTGCCAATCTTCTACAATTTGAAAACTCCAATGTACATCTGACCTTTCCAAAACTCTTACCATAGGAAGGCTAGCTTGCCCCTCTAGCAGCAAGATCTCTAACAGAAGAGAGAAGAAACTGGAAGATATTTCATTGATTCCAAGGCAAGGTTTGAGATCTTCAAGGGGCCTAATGAGGGGAAAAAATATGTAAGAACAATTGAAGAGACCAAGAACACATCCCCAGACGGCTTAGGTCCTCCAAACCCTCTAACAGTTACACAAAAATTCAATCAAGGACCACACCAAACGCGCTCCCTAGCAGGTCCCCCGGGACTCTGGTCTTGCAAAATCAACATGCACAGGCTCCTTCCACGCACCAGTGCTGGGTAAACCGCGGGGGCATCTTTCACCCTTGAGCAGGAATCTCTGTTGCTCACTTACTCCTCCTTGATGGCAGGTATAGCCAGCGGAGAAGGGGCCTGGGAGAGAGGTGGGATCCCATCAGCACTGCTTAAGGGTTCGGCCAAATCCTCTGCCTCTGATTTGATCAGTTTTATTTTCTTCTTCTTCTTCTCCTCTTTTTCCTTAACCTTTTTTTTAAGGACAGCCAAGTCATATAGGGCTAGAAGAAAAGGCAACACAAATCACAGAACTGCATTTTCTACATCAGGAAGTGAGGGTCCCATCTAAATGCTATTTTCCGAACACCCACCAGTAGATGGGGAAAAAAAAGTCTTAAGTAATAAGACATTGAGTTATTTTTTGTTTTGTTTTGTTTTGTTTTGTTTTAACCAAACCCACTGAGAGATTTCACAAGTTAATTTTAATACCTATTAAACAGCCAAAGATGTAGCGTATTGACGTTATACTCATTTTCCATCTGTAAGTCCGTAAGAAGCAATAACTAAACAAAAGCTATCAACAAGAAGAAAGCTGTGGTCTCATTTACTTTTGCCACACAGACAGGCTCATATAACGTAACACAACAGTCCGATGATATATACCTAAAAAGGACATCTTTACCTGCTAGAGAGCCCTTCCTGCCGGCATTTACTCGAGTCATGATGTCATTGAGAGTGAGGTCCCCTGTCAAAAGGTCCGGATGATCCTGGATGTGATATTCAAAGATTTGTTATACAGGCCCCCAAAAGAAGCTAAAACTGCTGATTATTTTCCCAATTTACCTAGATACAATCAGATACTGGGCACACTTGACGAAATCATGTTGAATTAAAAATATATGGAGGGGCACCTGGGTGGCTCAGTGTGTTAAAGCCTTTGCCTTCGGCTCAGGTCATGATCTCAGGGTCCTGGGATCAAGCCCCGCATCGGGCTCTCTGATCAGCAGGGAGCCTGCCTCCCCCTCTCTCTCTGCCTGCCTCTCTGCCTACTTGTGATTTCTATCAAATAAATAAATAAAATCTTTAAATATATATATATATATATATATGGAGACAAAGACTACTCCCCTTCATAATGGGACACAGAACTCACTTCCAACCTTTCTATTGCACGACATTTAGTTTATAAAGCTCTTCTGCATTCCTTATCTTAGTGCTCTTCAAACAGGCTTATTAAATATCACTATATTTTATAGTCTGAAAATGCGGTTCAGAAAAGGTAAGGGATTTGCTGATTTCCAATGTGGGATGCTTCCCACCTCCCTGCCTTTTCTTGGACGGGAGCTCTGCTCTCTGGCTTGGCTGCACTGGCATCACCTTGACTCAGCAGAGTAACAGAGAGTAAACAGTGGGAAGAACACAGGATCTGACTCCTGACTTCCTAGCAGTAGGGCCAAGGACAAGCTCCTTAACCTCTGTGAACACAGGTAAAATGTATACAGTGATTCATATACCATATAAATCAGACACTAGGTCAAGCATCTGTCTTCCTCTCATATTGCTGGCGTTAACTAGCCACTACGGTGGCTCCTATTCCCCAAAAATGAAAGAAAAGGAAGCATAAATGATATGGTGACTACATTATCTCCTAAAAGCCTATCCAAAGATATTTGATATGGTGACTACCATCATCTCCCAAACGCCAATCCAAAGATGTTAGACCAAAAACCACTAGTGGCACCCCACCCAATCTTACTGGTTGATGTTTCCGCTTCTCATGGTGCTTCTTTAACATTATCTTCAGGTCACTGTCCCCCAGTTCTATTTTATCTGAGAGAAAATGAACCAAACCATATGGACTAGGTCATTCACTAGCATTATGCTCAAATTCAAGTCTTTCTGGTCACTTGTGATACTCAAAGTAACATGTTTCTGAGTGTCCCTTCTGACTCCCCTGTACTGTAAGCACACACAAGCTTGAAATAGTCATAGGATCAACTCTTCAGCTTTTCTCTACGTTGACGGATAACGATGATCTCAGCTGCTCCTAAAACACCTCAAAAATTCTTAACCATCTTCGATTCCTATCCCAGTTAAAAGCTCTTCTCTAATTTCACATTCTAAGAAACTGCTATGGCTCTGATTACCTCTCTTGTTCTATTATTGAACTGCCCCTAAATATTGCTATTTTAAGAATCTGCTTTCTTTAGCCCAAAATACCATCTGATCAGCTCCTAAGGGAAAGCTTCACAACAAAGGAAGGAAGAAAGGCAGGCCTACCTACTTGGAGACAAGTGAAATCAAACAGAAACTTCTAATCTCCCACTTCTAAGGAACACTGCTTCGATTCCCTGGTAAGTAAGAATCCAGCGCCCCCCTCCCAGTAAGGGAGTTCTCAGATCTACGTCCTGCTCTCCCAAAGTGTCCACAGCATCACTCAGCTCTCACCTGCGGTTCTCATATCCGTGGTTGAAAGCGTGGGCACCACCCTCAGGGGCACCGCAGGGCTAGGAGAACGCGCTGGAGAGCTCGGAAGCCATGAGCTGAGATCTTCAAAAGAAAATTTTTCTTGTAAATCCAACGTGGCTGTGGACTCCAATAGGGGAGATTGGGTAAGTGGCCATTTGGGTTCAACAAGGCTAAGCCAACAACATGGAGGCCAGGGTTCCACCATTCCTTTCTGACCCTTCTCCAGACGAACTGGAGCACACTTAGGTCATTTAAACGGCTCTTCCAGGAAGAGAGACTTCAACAGAGTGATGGGGTCGCATTGCAGCAGGCCAACAGTCACTACTACTCTCCTGTAAGGGGAAAAGCAGTTCTCTCAAGTGGCACAATAGGACCAGAAGGCCTACTGTGGAGAGCCCTGCCATGCAGGGATTCATCTCATCTAAACTCAAATGCCACTTAAGCATCAAGGGTAAAAAAGGTATGCAGTCACACCCCACCTAACAGGAATGTCTCAGAGCCCAAAGACTAAGGAGTTCTGAGTCCCATCATCCACCTCCCCCCAAGAGAGACAACTGGGATAGCTTCCTTCCCGGGAGATAAATGGCTACCACTGGCTCCAACTGAACAACAAGCTGCTGGTATAAATCCAACATCCCAGCTACTCCAAGTGCCCACAGATACTCACCCTCTTCATCAGATGACAGGTCTGTGTCACCACACTCCTCCTTCACTTCCCTCAAGACCTTTAAGTAGCGCTGCTGGGTCCGCCACTCCCGTTCCTCAGGGGTACGGGACGGTGAAGGGCGCTTCTGGCGGAAGGGAAGGGCTGGGCCACTCCGTCGGGCCATCTCCAGTAGGTCCTAGGAAGAGAGCAGATGGGCATACTCATCATCACCCAAAGCTTGTTCTGGTGCATTCCTCAAGTCTACAACACGTGCCTCGAAGATTACCACACAGGTCCAGCTCCCAGGCCATGAAGCCGGGTACCCTATTCATCCGTCGAGGTATCTGGAGGCCTGTGTGCTCTCGCACTCCAGCTGTGCAGCAACCTGCTTCTCCTAAACAACCCACGATGGATCTCAAAGGCACCTGCTGACCTTGCTAAAGACCGAAGCTATGATACTTCATCAGTTTTAAGAGATACCGTTTTTCCACGTTTTCACATCTCTGAAACCAGGCTACATCTTAAAATGAATAAAAAAGGACAATACAGTCTAACTGTGTGGTGGCTTTATTGGTCCCGTTTTCTTCTTACTGCTATCACCGGCGTGCGGTACCCGAGCCACTTCTTGAAGCGTCGAGATATGTGCGTTCAGCGTCCCCATGCCACACGCAGGGGCCGGCACTACTTACGTTCCGGGAGGCCAGGATCTGCTTGAGCAGCCTGTGGAAGTACTGCTGCTGGCACGTCAGGTAGCGCTTGTACTGGGACTTGAAGCACAGCTGCCGGTACTTGACCACCTCCGGGTTGAAGTGTCCGTCTGAGAAGAACGGGGGCACAACTGTGTGTGAATATGGGTCAACAAATATCTAACACGTGCGTGAAAGGTGCTAGATACCGGAAGACAGGACAGGAGAGGAAAAGATGACTGTTGCGTATGTGGGGCCTACAGTCCAGGGAGGCAGAAAATAAGCAGTTAAATAGACAGATACTCTTTTTAAGTACTCTGGGGAATTAATCTGAAGCAACTACCGAGAGTGAGGAGGGGTATATTCGGGAAAGAGATCTCTAAGAAACAAAACATAAAATGAAGCCTAATTAAAGCAACTATGGCAAAATGTTAACAACTGATAAATATTAATAAGTTACACAGATGTTTGTTATACTATTTGCCAACTTTTCCGTATGTTTAAAAATTTTCAAAACAAAAAATTGGGAGGAAAATCAATGGGAATTTAAAAGTAAGAAGTAAAAATGGGGGAAAGGCAGAAGGAACAGCCCATGCTAAGGCAGATCTGAAGCAAGCAAGGACTCTGCACATCCCAAAGCTGGAGAAAATGTCTGTATGACTAACTCAGAGTGGTCTGCAGCCGAGGTAGCGGGCGATGCCCTGGGAAGGCAGGCAGAGATCCAACCACACAGAAACCCATAGGGCACAGGTGGAGCTGTATTTTATCCTAAGTGCAATGGGAATAATTTGAAGGGTTTAAAGCAAAAGGACATGGTGGGGAGCAAGAGAGAAGAAAGAAAACTCCTGCAGGAGGTCTAGGTGAGAGAGGATGGCAGCTTCCCTCCACACTCAGAATAAAAGCCCAGGTCTGAAAGATAGCCTGGAAGGCCCTTCACGTGTCCTGGGCTCCCTCTGGCCTCATCTTCCACCAGTCTTCTCTTTGCTCCATCTCAGCCCGACTGGCCTCCACGCTGTTTCCTGAATAGGCTACATACCCTATTTTCTCAAGACCTTTGTACTTAAAGTTCCCTCTACATTCAAGGCTTCCTACTAACACCCAGTGTTTTCACAGCTTGGTCATCCTACCCTCATTAAGTCCCTGTCTTGATACCATCTCATCAGAGAAACCTTCACCAACTACCATGTCTAAAAGAGCTCCTTCCCATTATTCTAGTCCCATTACCCTCCTCATTCTTAAAAGTACTTAATGCCCATAAGTATTTTCTTGTTTATTATCATGTTCTTCCCTATGAAAATGTAAGATCATTACCATATTTCCAGAACCTCAAAGAATGTCTGGCACCTATTAGCTGACTAGTAAGTAAAATAGTGGTTACATGAACAGAAGTAGAGACTTGAGATACATTCCTGAGGGAGAAGGATTAAACCAGCTGATAGTTCAGTCCTGGAGATGGATGGGGGGGGGGGCCACACAGAGGTCAAATAAGCATGGTACCCTGATTAGTGGACATGAAAAACTGGTATCAGTATCATCATCTGAGATAAAAAGGTCAAGAAGAGGTCTATTTTGGACATAATGGATTTGAGCTGATAGACCATGATGAAAACTGAGAGGGAAAGATTGAAAAGCTAATCTCAGAACGTAAAAATGAGAAGTTAAAGTACACAGTGTTTCTCTTTTTTGCCCCAACCACCCTAATACCATCCAATGTAACTAATAATAGCAAATGTTTACTTAGAACAGCCCCTGACTGGGGCGCCTGGGTGGCTCAGTGGGTTAAAGCCTATGCCTTTGACTCAGGTCATGATCTCAGGGTCCTGGGATTGAGCCCCGCATCGGGCTCTCTGCTCAGCAGGGAGCCTGCTTCCCTTCCTCTCTCTCTGCCTGCCTCTCCGCCTACTTGTGATCTCTGTCAAATAAATAATAAATAAAATCTTTAAAAAAAAAAAAGAACAGCCCCCAACAACTGCCACTATATAAGGACCCTGTGTCTATTAACTAATTTAATCTTCATAACCACCCCATAAAAGGCACTACTAAATCCTCATTTTAAAGATGAAGAAACTGAGGGATAGAGAATTTAAATAACTTGTCCAAGGTCACACACCTAATAAAAGGGGAAAGTAGGTGTGAACCCAGGTAATCCAGCTCCACAGTCCAAGGTCTTACCCACCATGCTATGCTGCCTGCTTCAGGGAAACAGGATGTGACCTTCAAGAAACGAGCCAAGAGCTGAATGCTACTGATGCTGTTTGATATATAAAAACTGAGTATCTTTTTTGCCTCTGTACTTCTTTGAAGTTATGTTCCTTCAGTCTTTAGTTTCCCCCACTTTTTGAAAGCCATTAAATGCCATACCTCTGTTAAAAAAATATTTTGTATGTATTAAGGAAAATATTGGGGCACCTGGGTGGCTCAGTGGTTGGGCATCTGCCTTTGGCTCAGGTCATGATCCCAGGTCCTGGAATCGAGCCCCATATCAGGCTCCCTGCTCAGCAGGAGGCCTGCTTCTCTCTCTTCCACTCCCCCTGCTTATGTTCCCTCTCTTGCTGTCTCTCTCCCTATCATATAAATAAATAAAATCTTTTTTAAAAAATGGAAAGAAATTAATAATAATTATAATAGATCAAAATGTCTCATTAAAATTAACTGCCTTTATGATTCTTAACGCAGCTACTAGAAAATTTTAACTTGAACACACATATTTCATCTTTTTTTTTTTTAAGATTTATTTATTTGAGAGAAGGAGAGCAAGCGGGGGGAAGAGCAGAGGGAAAGGGAGTGACACAGCCTTCCCACTGAGCAGGGAGTCAATGCCAGGCTCGATCTCACAACCTTGAGCTGAAATCAAGAGTCACTTAACCAGCTGAGCCACCAGGTGCCCTGGTTCATGTAACATTTCTATTGGCTGGTGGTGGGCTAGTTACCAGTGAGGAAAGGAGAGCGAAGTACCAGATGAAGTTGGGATAAGTGGGCAGGGGCCAGGTCACACAGAGCCCTGCAGACACTGAATTTTATTTCAAGTGAAGGCAACTGCTAAATATTCTGAGAAGGGAGGTTTTAAGGAGCTTGCTGTAGCAGCTGTGTGGAGGTGGCTGCTAAAGCAGCCCGGCAGTCGGCAGTGAAGAGACAGTGAATGAAAGCAGTCAAGTACAGAGGTAAGAATGGTAGCTAGGGGCGCCTGGGTGGCTCAGTGGGTTAAAGTCTCTGCCTTCGGCTCGGGTCATGGTCCCAGGGTCCTGGGATCGAGCCCCGCATTGGGCTCTCTGCTCAGTGGGGAGCCTGCTTCCTCCTCTCTCTCTGCCTGCCTCTCTGCCTGCTTGTGATCTCTGTCAAATAAATAAATAAAATCTTTAAAAAAAAAAAAAAAGAATGGTAGCTCAACAGCAGTAATACAGACGGGGCCAGTGAGTAGAACAGGGGTTAGCAGAGAAAGTGGGGTGTGGGGGGGTAGGGTGTCAGAAACCAGGAGGAGGGGCGCCCGGGTGGCTCAGTGGGTTAAAGCCTCTGCCTTTGGTTCGGGTCATGAACCCAGAGTCATGGGATCGAGCCCCATGTGGGGCTCTCTGCTCAGCGGGGAGCCTGCTTCCCTTACTCTCTCTCTCTCTCTGCCTCTCTGCCTACTTGTGATCCCTGTCAAATAAATAAAATCTTAAAAAAAAAAAAGAAAGAAACCAGGAGGAGATCCAGGCCAGGGAAGAGTCACTGATGCAAAAGGGAGGAAAGTCTCAAGATGAAGAAAGTGCCCACGACAGCAGATGCTGGGCTCTACAAGGGGCACCCGGCTGACTCAGTTGGTAGAGCAGGAGACTCTTCATCTCGGGGTCATGAGTTCAAGCCCCATGTTGGGTGTAGAGCTTGCTAAAATGGTAATGATAAAATGAAAAAAAAAAAAAAAAAAAAAAAAGACTGTGATGCTGTGCACAGAGCAAGCAGAGAGCTAAAAAGCATCTGCTGGTGGTGTCTGGGTGGCTCAGTCAGTTAAGCGTCTACCTCTGGATTTCAGCTCTAATCATGATCTCAAGGTCGTGGGAATGAGCCCTGCAACAAGCTCCACACTCAGCAGGAAATCTGCTTGAGATTCTCCCTCTCCCTCTTTCCCTCCCCACGACGCGTGCTCTTACACTCCCACTCTCTCAAATAAATACATCTTTTAAAAAAATAAAAAATAAAATAAAAAGCATCTGCTGGTTTGGAAATTACATGCTCACTAAAGAGACATGGAGCAGGGAAAATGCTCACTGGTGAGATGTGATATAACTAGGTAATGGCTCATCTATGTTACATTTTACATGTACATACAGAATTTAAACACAGAAAAATTCTGTACTTGCAGTATCTCTGAATCTGATCATTTGTGGTTATGTAAGAAAATGTTCTTATTCTTCAGAGATTAATGCTGAAAAATGTAGGGTTGCAATGTCTGCAATACTCTCAAATGGTTCAGCAAAAAAACGAGAGTAATAATCTACAGTAACGACGAGAGCCAATGTGGCAAGATGTTAATGTTAATAGTTGGTGGATCTGGTGAAGAGTAGAGCTGACCCTTGAACATCATGAGTTTAAAACCGTGTGGGTCAAGTTCTATGTGGATTTTTTTATGGTACTTACTGTAAATACATTTTCCTTAGGATTTTCTTATTAGCATTTTCTTTTCTCTAACTTAAATATGTGTTGTAAAATACAGTACGGATCACATATAAATACAATATGTAAATTACACGTTAACCGACTGTTGTAAGACTTCCAGTCAATACCAGGCTATGAGGTAAGCTTTGGGGGAGTCAAAAGTTATACATGGACCTGTGACTGAGTGGGAAGCAGGCGCCCCTCAACCCCGCAGTGTTCAAGGGTCAACTGTATATGGGTGTCCGTTATAAAGTCTTGTGACCTTTCTGTAGCTTTGAAATCTAAAGGTAAAAAAGTTGAAGGAAAAAAAAGGTCACTGGTGGCATTAGTGAGAGCACTGTCTGTGAGGTAACAACGGAAGAGCCACAAGGGAACAGGGGCAGAATGACTGAAAGGAACAGCTATGGATGTCTTTCAACCAGCTTGGAGATAAAAAGGCAAATGATAGAGGACAACTGAGGGAACAGATGGTGAAGGACTTTTTTTTAGTGTGAGACTCCTGAACACATCTGTAGGCTGAAGAAGAGCCAGTGGAACGAACAGCGAAACAGAGTGATACACAGTACAGAAGGGATGGTTAACTGAGGGAAAAGAGGTCCCAGAGGAGGTAAAAGATGAAAGGATGAAGAGCAGAGGTTAATCTCAAACAGAAGACAAAACTCCTTTCTCCTCAGAGACAAGTAAAGAATGTCAGAAACTCTCTGTGTGCGAGAGCACACAGGCCTCCAGATACCCTGACGGATGAATAGGGCACCAGGCTTCATGGCCCCGGGGTCTGGACCTGTGTGGTAATCTTCGAGGCATGTGGTTGTGGCTCTGAGTGGATCTTGGGCTCGGATGTGGAAATGGCTGGGTGTTCGTATAATAAGTATTCATTCCTGAGGGAGCAGTCTGCCAGTCAGATTTAAGATGTTTTGCCATGTGGGACTTAGCAGAGGCTCTTTTTATTTAGACATGTTCTCCTACGTGCATCTCTGATCTGAAGGGGGCAATTCAGCTTGTTAAACAATGAAGAGAAGAAAATGTAGGTCCCAGAGGAGGTAAAAGATGAAAGGATCAAAAGTAGAGGTTAATCTCAAACAGAAGACAAAACTCCCTCCTCAGAGACAAGTAAAGAATGTCAGAATGGAAACGAAAACAGGGAGCGGAGGTATAGGTTGGAAGTAGGAAGTGGGGGGGTTATAACAGAAGATCCTTTATGAAGCAGGAAGCAAGAGTTTGCTAAGCATGTGGAACTTAAGGAGAAGGTGAACACTTAAAACAGAATCAGGAAAGCTAAGCAAGGTGAAAAACTACAAGTAAGCACAGTCATGCAGCTGTCTGCAGCAACACTAGAACGAAATATGACTGCGCTCAGAGTGAAACGCACAGGAATTCCTGTCTTGACATTCCTTGTTGCATCCTCACCACACCAGCACACTGCTGTGGGGGGAAACATGCCAGCACAGCAGCCCAGGCATACGTTTCACAAGGTCCCTGTCACAACCCCACCAAAAGCAGGCAGGCTCTATCGGAAGAGATGGTTTACTCCTACCTGAGGCCCCCGCTACAGAGAAATACACCTTTGCCAGCTACGCAGCTCGTAAACCAGTAGCTCACTGAAGAAAGGAAAGCTAGTTTGAAACAAGCAGAGATAATAAAAGTTCTGCAATGATAAGCCTGTCCTGTCCAGGCTTTTATAGTGATTGTGTCCAATTTTCCAAAACTCAGGGAGATGTGCTGTACTTTTAGGGCCTCCTGCCAAAGTCAAGTCACCCCAGAAAGGGGAGAAGAGGCCTCTTCTGCTGCTCTCCCTGGGAGAGAGAGGAAACCGTGGCTTAATAGTGGCCCCAAACCATTCTGCAATCCCCAATGTAATAACTGACTCAGGGCAAGGATCATTAATGGGCGTTAAACCACTGAGTAAAACAAAGGCTTTTGGGAAAAAAGTATCATCCTACATTTTCCCTCTGAATTATGAAGGAAAAAAGGTACTGTTACAATGAGTATGTCTGGCAGACACCACTTAACCAAGTAATCAAATGCATCATTACCAACATTGGAAAAACTGACCTCGTATGTCTCCTGAGATGATGGTGGGAAAGAAGTAACACTTCCCACCTAGTATTCTTGGTAAAATGTTTAAGCCAAATCCAATGATGAGGAAACAAGACAATTTCCCAGAAAGCAGACATTTTAGAATTTAAGTGTCCTGGACTCTTCAAAAATATCAGTGTGTTTTGTACGGAACCACAAAAGGCCCCAAATAGCCAAGGCAATCTTGAGAAAGAAAGACAAAGCTGGAGAAATCATGCTCCTTTATTTCAAACTACACTACAAAGCTACAGTAATCAGAACATGGTGGTACTGGCACAAAAAAAACACACAGATCAAGGAAACAGAATAGAGTCCAGAAATAAACCTACGGTTATATAATCAATTAATTTACAGCAAAGGAGACAGAATATACAATAGGGGAAAGAGTTTCTTCAATAAATGGTGCTGGCAAAGCTGGACAGCTACATGCAAAAGAATAAAACTAGACTGCTTTCTTACACCACACACAAAAATAAATTCAAAATGGATTAAAAAATGTAAGGGGCGCCTGGGAAGCTCAGTAGGTTAAGCGTCTGCCTCTGGCTCAGATCATGATCTTGGAGTCCTAAGCCAGAGCCCCGCCTTTGGCTTCCCACTCAGCAGGGAGTCTGTCTTTCCCTCTCCCTCTGCCTCTCCCCACTGCTTGTGTTCTCTCAAATAAGTAAAATCCTAAAAAAAAAAAAAAAAAAAAAAACAACCTTAAATGTAAGGCTGAAAATCCTAAGCTTCTAGAAAAAAACACAGGCAGTAAACTCTTGGGAACCAGTCTTAGAGAACTGTTTTGGATCTCTCTCCGCAAGCAAGGGCAACAAAAGCAAAAAACAAAAACAAAATAAAAACCAACAAACAAAACCAAACAGAACTACATCAAATTAGAAAACAAAGGAAAGCAAAGAAAACCATCAACAAAACAAAAAGGCAACCTACTGAATGGGAGAACATATCTGCAAATGACATATCCAGTAAGGAATTAATAATTAAATTATATAAAGAACTCCAATTCAACATCAAAAAAACAAACAATCCAATTAAAAATGAGCAGAGGATGTGAACAAACGTTTCTCCAAAGAAGACATCCAGATGGCCAACAGCACATGAAAAGATGCTCAACATCACTCATCACCAGGGAACTGCAAATCAAAACCACAAGATATCACCTTATACCTGTGAGAATGGTTATTATCAAAAAGACAACAAATGACAAGTGACAAGGATGTGGAGAAAATGAAACCCTCGGGCACTGTTGGTGGGAATGAGCAGTCACTATGGAAAACGGTATAAAGTTCCTTAAAAAATTAAAAACAGAACTACCATTCGGCAATTCCACTTCTGGGTATTTATCTGAAGAAACTGAAAACACTAATTCAAAAAGTGTACATGCATCCCTATGTTCACCGTGGTATTATTCACACGAGTCAAACCATGGAAGCGATGTAACACATTCATCCATAGATGAATGGATGAAGATGACCATATGGATAAAGAGTTTACAGATAAATACAACAGACTACTATTCAGCCTAAAAAAAGAATGAAATCTTGTCACTTGAACAACATGGATGGACCCAGAGGGTATTGTGCTTACTGAACTAAGTCAGAGAAAAACAAGTATCATAGTTTTATTTGTATATAAAATCTGAAAAACAAATGAACAACCAAAAAAACAAACAGACTCAGCAGATACAGAGAACAATGTGATGACTGCCTTGTGTTTGGGGGGTGGGGGGTTGGTATAAGCAAAATAGGAGAAGGGGATTAAAAGCTACAAACATCCAGTTATAAATAAGACAAAAGGATACAATGTACAGCATACAGAAAATAGTTAATAATATGTAACAACTTGTATGAAGACAGGTGGTAACTAGATGTATCATGGGGATCACTTCAGAATATACAGAGAACTGGGGCGCCTGGGTGGCTCAGTGGGTTGAAGCCTCTGCCTTTGGCTCAGGTCATGGTCCCGGGGTCCTGGGATCAGGCCCCACATCAGGCTCTCCACTCAGCGGGGAGCCTGCTTCCCTTCCTCTCTCTCTGACTGCCTCTCTGCCTACTTGTGATCTGTCTGTTCAATAAATAAATAAAATCTTAAAAAAATATATATATACAGAGAATCAAGAGGTACACCTGAAAAAAATATAATATTGCATGTCAGTCACACTTAAAAAAAAGAAATCATTGTTTTTTGAAAGACGAAAAAAGCCAGAGGGCGTTAGGTTCAGGAAGCCAAGAGACATGAAATCCAAACACAATGCATAAACTTGAATAGATCTGAATTTAAAAGGAAAACAATAAAAAAGGCCACCATAAAGGAGATTTAGGAAACCACTGACAACTTCTGAATATGAGATATTCTATGGTATTTGTGCAGTATAAATTTTCTTGGGTGTGAGAACAGAACTGTGATTACATGGCAGCACATCCTTGTTAAGAGATACATGCATGCTGAAGTGCCGGACAGTAAAGTATCACATTTTCTGCAGAAAAAGTGTATGTATGTGTGACACACAAATACACATACACACATCTATATGCAGGAAAAAGCAAATGATACACTGTTTAGAAAATTTTTTAAGGACTACTCAAAAAAGGTGCCTGTAAGACACCAGTAATGTTTTATTTCTTGATCCAGGTGGTCGTTACACAGTTAAGTTCATTTTACAACAAATCATTTATGATTGATATATTTCCTGTGTAAATTAAAAATTTTTATTAAAAAAAGAATTGCCTATGCAAAGTGTTGCACACAACTGGGCTCTGAGTCAGTATCAGTACATGAAAATAAACACAATAAATGAAGAAAGTAGTACTCACATAAGTGAACGTGTTCCTTCTCTTTCACTCCTCTCAAAAAAAAGAATGCCGGGGCGCCTGCGTGGCTCAGTGGGTTAAAGCCTCTGCCTTTGGCTCAGGTCATGATCTCAGGGTCCTGGGATCGAGCCCTGCATCTAGCTCTCTGCTCAGCAAGGAGCTTGCTTCCCTTCCTCTCTCTGCTTGCCTTTCTGCCTACCTGTAATCTCTGTCAAATAAATAAATAAAATCTTAAAAAAAAAAAAAAAAAAGAATGCCAACCTACATACCTCGGAAAAGCTTCTGGGCAATGTGCAGAGGGTTCCCAAAGCGGAAGTTCTCCCCACTGAATAGGGCTAGGATGAGCTGATTTTGCTGCTCAAAACTGTCTTCAGGAAAGCGAGGCAGAAACTGCTGGAGGTGTTCACGTTGAGAGTCGCTCAATACTTCTTGCCATGTTGAGAGGCTGACTACATCAAAGAATATCTCAGGCTAGGACAATGAGGAAAAGCAGACAAGTAAACAAGAGAGAAACAAAAACTTTTAAGTTTTTCCATGAGTGGTAAAATATACATAACATAAAATTTACCATTTTATCCATTTTTAAGTATACAGTGATATTAGATACATTTACACTGTTGTGCAACCATGACTATACCCAAGTTTTTAAGTTTGTTTAAACCAAAATGTGACTGGGATGCCTGGGTGGCTCAGTTAGTTAAGCACCTGCCTTGGGCTCAGGTCATGATCCCAGGGTCCTGGGATCGAGTTCTGCATTGGGCTCCCTGCTCAGTGGGAAGCCTACTTCTCCGTCTGCCTGCCGCTCCCCCTGCTGGTGTGTACGCACTCTCTAACAATAAATAAAATCTTAACAACAACAAAAAAAGTCATCGATCTTTATTCAATTCTCAAATCTTAGAGATTAACAACAACATTTAAACCATTATCTTATACCCAACAGTAAATAATAACCCAAAGGAAAAATGATCTCAGTTTCTACCTGAATTCAGCTTAAGATGAGGGGCAGGAAAATGTTAACATGGGAGGAGAGGAAGAGCAGTTGAGTCACCTACAAAGAGTGACAAGCAACAGGACGGAGTTCAATCTCAGCTCAGTTATATACTGTATACCTTCTATGTGCTGAGTACTAAGCTAGGCGGCTTGTTTGGGGGGGGGGAGGGGTGGGGGGAGACAAGCAATTACAATGTAACTTAAGAAAAGCTGATGTGCACAGAAGCATACAGGAGAAGCCCGTGTCCCAGACCCAAGGTGTCAGAGAACACCTACCAGAAAAAGTGACATTTAAGATAGTTAAAGGATAAAAAAAGAAGAAAAAGAAAAAAAAGTGCTGAAGCAGGAGAGTTAAAAATCCAACAGAGGAGGGGCGCCCAGCTGGCTCAGTCGGTAGAGCATGTGGATCATGAGTTCAAGCTTCACGCTGGGGATAGAGATTAAAGATAAATAAACAAAAATTTAAAAATCCAGAGCCAAACCATAAAAACAGAAGAATAATTAATATAAAAGAAAGGACCCCAATTACCTGTGGGGGCCTGAATGGTATTGGCAAATGTTCTACTTCTTGTAGCTACATGGTTGTTTTATCGGTGTTTTATTTATATGGATTTTATATAGTCTTCTTCTATAAGATACAGTCCACTTTTTTAAATAATGAAGAGAGTTGAGGCAATGCATAGCTAGCGCAAGGACGCAGAGGGAGGGAGCCGCAGACAGAAGAGGAGCAAGGGACCTAAAAACATGTTAAGTACTTGTGACATTATCCTAAGGACAATGGAGAGTCACCAAAGGGCTGAAGCAGGAAACAACCCAGGATTCTAACCACCTACTAGGCATCTCTTTCATGCATGTACCGAGAGCACCTTGGGGTCCAAACTGTCCCCCCGCAAGTCTATTTTTGCAAACCACTTTATTCCTGTGTCGCAGTTCTGCCCAAGTAGGTATGTAATAAAGTAAGTGTTTGCTGACTAAATGAGTAACAGAAAGAGATTTATCTGAAAGAGTGTGCAAAGAAAACATGGATGGGAAGGATATATATATCACTTCAGTAGTTGTTACTTCAGGTGGCAGAGAGAATAAATGGTGGCATTATTTTATCTATAATGTTTGACATACTAGGAAAGAAAAAATCTGAACCGTAGAGGACTAAATGCAAGTATCTCCTAAAACTGAATGATGTACAAATGAATGCTTGATATGACACCCTACACCTGTCTGTATATGTGATAATGGCAAAAGAAAGGAGATAAATAAATCACTTTTTGGCATACACAATGCCTTACACATAAGCACTTAATAAGTGGGAGACACCTTAATGATGATGACGATTACATAGCCTGCCTGTGAAAGGAGCCAAAAGCACACGGATATCCCATCCCAGGACATGTACTACTAACGGACTAGAGTTTACCTGCTTGATGGACAGATAGAGTATGCCTGGATTTTGTTTCACGATCCGCAATGTGGGTAACAAATTCAATGTAAACACATCCATAATTCTGTCCTTAAAATATCTAATTTCTTGTTAACTGCTCAGAATTATCTGGTTAAAAATAGGGCTTCGGTATATAGCTTATACTTTCTTCTCCGAACACATTACTAAAGACTTTACACTAAAAAAGTGAGAGATATCACTCTGGCTGCATTGTAGAAAATGAAATCAAAGGGTACACATAAGACTGAAAACCTTCAATGTGTGGAAAAGGTTTAGAATAGTGGTTACGGGCAAGGTGACAGAAAGAAGATGGTGGTGTTGCTACTACTTACATCCTCCAAAAGGTCCTCGGGCAGACTAACCCTGGTGCCCCCCAGGAGGCAGTCTTCCATAATACGAGTGCCATGGCCATCTCCACATGGACCCAGTTCCAAGGGATCCGTCAGCATATGGTCCAAGGAATCCATTGTTTATGTTCCAAGAAAATCTACACAAATATATGCAGTCATACCTCCAGATAGAAAGGTAGGAATCCCAGGGGTCTGGTTGATACTAACACTCCTTCAAAAAATATTCTGGCCCAGAAAATAGTCAAACTCAAGTCCAGTTTTAATATTTTATCCTCCTACCTTAACTACAGCTACACACCTCTTCTCTCTTCTACCACTGCATTCTCATCTCAATCTTCAAACCTTTTCTAGCAGGTCTCCTGCTGCTCAGAATGCTTCTACAGTAACTCCCAAATCTGCAGAATTTCTTATACCTTCATTTTACACTTGAGCAAAGTGAGACTTAGAGATTAAACAGATAACTGATAAACAGATCAGAGTTCATAACTTAAAACTTCTCAGGCCAATAATCTCTCTACCATAAGATAATTTCTTGGAGTGCCTGGGTGGCTCGGTCGGTTATGCATCTTCCTTTGGCTCAGGGCATGATCCCCGGGTCCTGAGATCTAGCCCTGCATCAGGCTCTCTGCTCACTTCTCCCTCTCCCTCTGTCCCTCACCCTGCTCATGCTCGCTCTCTCTCTCTCCCTCTCTCAAATAAATAGATAAAATCTTTAAAAGATAATAATTAAAAAATTTCTTTAACAATTATTGCTTTGTTTTTTTAGTAATTCTTTGTTATGCCTTTCTGAAGAAAAAAATCAACCATATAGACTAGTAAAGCTCAGACACTAACAATAAATTATTTAATGAGGGCCTCTTAAGTGCCTGGCCTTTCGTGAATCTCATTTAATTCCTACAACTGTGCAACACAGGGTCATCAGATCTATTCTACAGATACTAAAACTGAGGATCAAAGTAGATAAATAACTTGCCCAATCTCAGCAGTAATGAATGAATGAAACTCAGGTCTGCCTGACTACAAACACACATTCTTAACACTACACCTCCTATATAAACTGTCAATTGCAATTCTGAAAGGGGAGCATGTTAATATGACTTTAGTCCACATAAACTCTAGGGTCTCGGGACACCTGGGTGGCTGTCTAAGCGTCTGCCTTTGGCTCAGGTCATGATCCCAGGCTCCTGGGATGAGTCCCTCAGCAGGCTCCTTACTCAGGAGGGAGCCTGCTTCTCCCTCTGCCTGCCCTCACTGCTTGTGCTCTCCCTCACTCGCTCTCTGTCTCAGAGACAAATAAATAAAATCTTAAAACAAAAACAAAAACAAAAACAAAACAACTTGGGAGTCTCCAAGCATTTGACCACACCACCAGTAAACTTAGTAGCTAATCTGCCAACTAAGGGTCCATCTGGTATTTGTAACCATGTAAATATAATGCTATTTTTTTCCTTCCTGTAATAAATGAACACTGCTGGTCTTCTTTGTAAATGTACAAATCAACACATCTTCAGAGGGGTGTCTGGGGGGCACAGTCGGTTAAGGGTCCAACTCTTCTTGGTTTTGCTCAGGCTGTAATCTCAGGGTCGTGAGATCGAGCTCTGTATCGGGCTCCATGCTCAGCGGGGAATCCACTTGAGATTCTCCCTCTTCCACTGCTCCTCCCACTTACACTCTGTCTCTCAAATAAGTAAGTCCTTAAAAAAGAAAAAAAAATCTTCAGAAAGCATCTCATTAGGCTAATGGCCTGAATCAGCTGTAAAGCTGAGGCCATAGGACTGAACTAAACTAACAGGACCACAAGGAGTATGATCTCAATCACTCTACAAACATTTGCTAAATCAATTCTATCTCCTATTCCTACCAAATGGACTAAGAAGCACAATAAAATGGAAAGAAAAAACAAAACAGACTTAACAGTCAAAATGCCAAACTTCTAGCCTACTCTCGGTGACTTTAGGCAAAATTCTCACCTTGCCAAGGTGTCAATTTCCTTATCTGTAAGACAAAGGGGAGCTGTTCCAGGTCCTCTGTACAGTTATTTCCAATCTTGGAATCCTACAATAAATAATCTCCAGATAGATGACAGTTTTTACGACTTAATGAAGTAACAGAAACACAGTAATGTAACGACTTCTGATCCCAAAACTCTTAAATGATAAAAAGTAGAGCTGTAATACCACTACTAAAATAAGCATCTTCCCACAAATTATCTCAAGTTATCTTTTAGAGATTTCAGATGTATGTACAGATACTGCAGGAAGATTAGTGTCGGACAAACCAGACGGTCTCCAAACAACTGTGCTCCATCACCTTTCAGTACATGGGGAATGACAACATCCTGAACGTTGCTGGTGCCTAAGTAACTGAAGCAGGTGAGAAAGCACATGGCGCATGAGTTTAACAAAACTTTAAAATAGAAAAATTGGCAGAAGCAACCTGATGCTTAGAGAAAGACACTCTTCATAGAATTGACATAGGACAGTAACTGCAAAGCCAGTGTTCTGACTCTTAGGAGGATCACCCCTGTTTCACAACTTGTTCACAAGTTTCTTCAACTATGATGGATGTGTAGCTAAATTTAATCTATTCGAGTGGCAACCTTTGCCCTGCTAATATTCTGAATAGGATCTCAAAACACAAAAAGCAGGGAGCTGCCAGAGGACTGAAACCCCGGAAGCCAAGGATTTCTGAGTCTTGCGGCGTCCTGAACCTCTGTACCGGACCGGGAGGGTGACTCCCGATGGCCCTTCCTCTGCACCTGGGCTAACCTTGCCTCTTGGACCCTCCCCAACGCAAAAGCTGAACCCTGGGCTGCTTCCGGAGCAAACGCCCGCTCCAAATCCGCCGCCCCTGCAACTAAACCCCTCCCCAGCCAACCCCGCCCTGCCCAAGGCCCGGGTACCGCCCCTCTAAGCTGCACCTCTGCGCCCACGGCCCCTCCCCCACACCGTGCCTAACCCTAACCCCCACCCACCCGGCAGCCCGGCTCCCAACCCGCCCGCTCCCCTGCCCCAGGCCCACAGGAGCAGCGACCCTCGGAGACCCAGCCGCTCCCTCCCTCCGCTCCACGGCTACGCTTTTAACCCTTTCGCCGTCCTGGGCCCGCCCTCACCTGAGTCGCGGGTCTCCCAACCCGCAGCGCTTCTCGGCCCGCGGGCTCCCGGACGCGCTCGCTCCCGCAAGGCGTCTCGGTGCGTGCACGCTCCGGGCTCGGCGGCGGAAGGGGCGGGGTTGCGCGGGGCGGGACCTGGAGGGTGCCGGGGGCGGGGCCTCGCGGGGCGGGGCCTGGGGCGGTGCGAGCCCGCGCTGCTGGGTTTAGGTTGCAGTTTTCACGCGGCCCATGGGCTCACCTGCCGTGGTAGCTTTTTCAGAAAGAACAGTGTCGGTAGTCTTTACCTGGCCGCGAACTGAGGCCCAGGAATGGTGAATGCAATTTTATTCGCCAGCGTTTGCAGAGAGTATACTCTGTACCAGGGACTATGCTAAGCACTTTCTAGCCCCTATCTTTGTACTACAGCTGTCTGCTCTTAAGCACTATTCCCATTTTACAGCTAAGGAAACTGCAGTTTCTTGAGTTTCAGGGAGGAAGGAAAACACAGGAGCCTGTGCCCTTGCGTATCCCCGTATCTTCCTCCTGTCCCTGGGCCCTTACCTTCGGAAAGAAAGTATAAACACGTTGAAGAAATACATTTAAAATTAAACTCGGTAACATTCCTCTGTTAAGAATCTAGGCCCCGGGCACCCTGGGTGTCTCAGTCGGTTAAGCATCTGTCTTCCGCTCAGGTCGCGTCCCTGAGTCCTGGGATTAAGTCCCGCATGGGGCTCCCTGCTCCTCTCGTAGTCTGATGCTCCCTCTGACCCTCCCTCCTCTCGTGCTCTCTCTCAATCTCTCTTAAATAAATAAATAAATAAAATCTTTAAGGAAAAAAAGAGAATCTAGGTCCCTTTCTTATTCACTGGGTCTTATTTAGAACAGCTTCAGACTACTTAATCCACAGCTTCTCCCACCGGGTCCTGCAGAGACCGTCCTCCGGTCCCTCGATTGGATGGAAATGTGTCGGGGAAGCTGATAGGTCAAACTAAGGTTCCTCCCTTGTTGGAAAACAGTGCCCACCAGCCCTTAGTTCCTGCCTATTGGACCATTGGGAGGTTCTTCAATTAGAAAACACCAACTAGAAGGACGGGGGAACACCATTCCATAGTTGTCATCCCTCAGTTCCCTTACATTGTGTCTCTGACCAGACCAGCGTCAACCGAAGAGTCAAAACATTATAAATTGTAATGAACAAAATTAGTTAAGAGATAACTCTCGATTTCGGGTCAGGTCAGATTTCAGGGCTCTGAGAGCTGCACTACGCCTCCTGGCTCAAACCCTAGCCAGCTGCCCCTTTCCCCTCCCAGCTCACTCAGGCACGTTCTCTATCTAATATTAATAAAAATCTTTTTTGTTAAATTAACAATCCCAGTGGTTCTTGTAGCTTCACACATACAAAGAAGATGTTTATTAAAAAAAAATATTTATTTTTACACCTGCTGTAGCACAAGACTATTAACACTATAACTCACTGAATGTACATTAAATGTTCACATTTAAATAACAGGACAGGGTCAATATTTTCAATCTGTGGGTCAACTTTAGCATCTCATGAAGTGCTTTTTAGCCCTAGATATCTTGAGAGTTTTTTGAAAGGATAATTCCAAATCAGAAAACAATTCAAGAAGATCAAAGCAATAGGTTTTTCCAGAATAACAGGAATTTTACATGATGAAATGTCTGTTTATGTGAGCACAAATCAAACAATAAAAATGTAAAATCTGTATGTAACCTACTCCAAAATTTTCACACTGCACTGATTGAAGTTTAGAGTGCCAATATGTCCTAAGAGAAGCCACAATATAAACATTGGCTACATACTTTTTTTTTTCCGTATTGGTCTTCAGATGGCTTATAATCCACCACCTCTTCAAATCCAAGTCCCTTTGAAAAAATCTAATAACTTGGAATGGACGTGCAGAATACCTGATCTTAAAGAAGTGTTGTTTGGCTTGATGGCCGCCTGCATCTCTGGTTGATAATATACAAATTGGTTTTAGATCCTTTGTTTATTCCACATAAGTACAAAAAGAGAGAAAGAAAAAACTTAGATGAGAAAGAAGCAGAGTCCTTCCAAACTATTTTCTTCTGTGTATTTTACAACTTGAAATAACTGGCATAAAATGAACATTCCATTCAGTGATAGTTTTCTCTTGTAATAAGTTATTCCTGAGGGAAGGGGAAGTACCTTGCTGGTTCAAATTAAAAAGGACCCAATAGGGCCAGATTTAAGGTATAAAAATTAAACTGGACCTTTAGCAAAGTCTAATACTCTTCGCCTACAAGTCTTTCTAGACTGGACACTGGGATATTTACAGTTATTATACTGTAGGACTCTGGAACCCAGAGTCTCTGTTTTGTGACTCAGGGTCAATATTTTCTATGGAAAACATCAACATTACGTCTTTGTTACCAAAGATATAGAGTCCATCCTTAGTTTCTACACATTTACCAACTAACTTTCTCAAGCTCCCTTAGTGCCCAGATTTTCAGGGATAACTAAATAAATGAGG